ATTTTTGGGGGAATGTTTTTCGTCGTTTTGTTTTTGTATTGTGTAAGTCATGTTGTTTCCCTGTTCTTCAGTGTTCCTGTTGTTCGTTGTTCATGTGTTTCTCTGGTTGTTCTGCTCTTGTGTTTCTGTTGTTTTGTTTCTGTTTCCGCTCTGCTGCTTCTGTGTTTTTGTTTATCTGCTCCTTTATTATTTCACAAATCAGAGATGCAACTTCAATATGTTACAAACATTGTGCAAACAACAACGCAAGTCTAAAGTCAAACACATGCGAAGAGAGGCGAAATCCAATATCGCACAGCAAAACCGGAAATTCATTATCGCACAGGCATTTTCCATTTTTTCAGTTGTTCCTGCCCCCCCCCAGGGCTACCTTGTAGAGAAGCAGAAAACACTGTAAAAACCAGTGCAAAATGCACGTTCATCAGTGTGTCTGCACGTGAACACCCCGTCGGAGGGAACAACCAAAACATTCCGTAACATTCCAAAACATGTCATATCATTCCATGACATTCCAAAAAAAAACAGAGCATTCCAGAACATTCCCTGACATTCCATGACATCCATAACATTCCATGACATTCCACAACATTTCATAACATTCAATAACAGTCCATAGCAAACATAACATTCCAAAACATCCATGACATTCCAAAACATTCCATAACAATCTAAAACATTCCAGAACATTCCATAACACTACATAACAACCATAACATTCTATATCATCCCACAACATTCCATAACATTCAATAAAAAAAACATAACATTCCATAACATTCCAAAAATCCAAAACAACGAGAACATTCCATAACATTCCACAACAACCAAAACTTTCCATATCACTCCAGAACATTCCACAACAACCAAAACATTTCATAACACTCCATAACCTTCCAAAACAACCATAACATTCCAAAACATTCCACAACATTCCATAACATTCCAAAATATTCCATAACATTCCCTAACATTCCAAAACAGTCCAAGACATTCCCTAACATTCCACAACATTCCAAAACAACCATAACATTCCATAACATTCCACAACAACCAAAACTTTTTCCATAACATTCCATAAAATTCCAGAACACTACATAACAATCCATAGCAACCGAAACAACCCGGCGGACCGATCACCGGCCCAGGATTTCAGGAAAATTATGTTTTCGCCATAGCGGCGTGCATGTTTCATGTTCAAAATGACCATCACAAAAAATCACTGAATTCAGATGGCTCGTTAACCCTTACAGGGTTTTGTGTTCAAAAAGGATGCGAATTGAAATCACGTCGTTTTCACAGCATTGCGAGCTGACGTCCAGTCTTTGAGAGGAGCTGGCATGTTCCCATCTCACACCGCCACTGTTGAATTTTGATGTACTTCCACAGCTTTGGGTTTGGCTTTCCTGCACAGTGACTGCTAAGAGACTTAGGGATGCCATCCTTCATCAAAGTCCAGTAAGCATCCAAGGATCCAGTGTGAACCAGAACTCCAACAACCAACCCACCCCCAAAACAAACGTAAACATCCCCACCCCAACCCCAACCCCACCCCAACCCATCCACAAAACGTGGGGCGGTAAACGGTCCGCTAGCCAAAACATGTCATAACAGTCCATAACAACCAAAACATTCCACAACAATCAAAAACAACCATCACAATCCATAACATTCCCTAACATTCCAAAACATTCCATAACATGCCATAACACTACAAAACAAACATAGCATTCCATAATATTCCAAAACAGTCCAAAACAACCATTACATTCCATGACATTCCGTAACACTACATAACAACCATAACATTCCATAACAACTAAACTGTCACTAACATTCCAAAACAGTACATAACAACCAAAACATTCCGTAACATTCCAAACCATGTCATATCATTCCATGACATTCCAAAACAAACATAGCATTCCATAACATTCCATGACATTCCATGACATTTCATAACATTCCATGACATTCCACAACATTTCATAACATTCCACAACAGTCCATAACAACAACAACAACATTCCATAACATTCCAAAACAACCAGACCATAACATTCCATGACATTCCATAACATTCAATAACAACCATAACAACCAGAACATTCCATAACATTCCAGAACAACCCATAACAACCAAAACATTCCATAACATTCCATAACAACCATAACATGACATAACATTCCATAACATTCCACAACATTCCATAACAACAATAACATTCCATAACAACCATAACAGTAAATATTCCAAACATATCTCAGTGTGAACCATAGCCAGCCATCCACCATGACACAACACCCCTCTCCTCCTGCGAGTTGATGGTCTTATCGCCAAAGACCTGTGGTAACAATAGCGGTGGCGGGTGGTGGTGGGTTAGGATAAAACAACAATCATTAACACTTCAGAAATGATATAATACACTACATCACACATGGTATATAATACACATTAAAGCATTGTATACAATACACATTAATACATTGTAATACCATGGAAACAAGTTCATTGATCCTTGCACGCAGTCGACCCATTTGCTGGAGGCCGCTTACATGTGTTGTGCCCACCACTGTAAGGTGAATAAAGACGTTCCTATGCCCTGGTAATCCACAAACACTTGAATCTTAAAAACGCACACCAAACATGAAACGTCTGGTAGTCTGTTTGGTCTGAAATAACATGCTTCACTCGTACATATGGAATGTCTCACTCATCCAAATGAACTTACTGTTCACATGTACTGGGGGGCTTACATTGACCCCAACCCCCGCGAAGTCTTGCATCTCATATCAATGGAGTAAGTGTTCATCGTTTTCAATGATTCACAAGTCAATAAGTACAGGTTCAAAGCGGCAATATTTTGCTATGTGCCATGGTCAAAACATGTCAAAACATGGTTCATATGGTATAGTCACCTTCGGGTCCTTCGGGCAGATCCCTGGCAATGGATTGATGACCACCATCCCAGGCATCCCAGGCCTTCTGCGTCACAGCGGCTTCGATGCTCCCCTCTGAGGAGATAAAGGGCAAGCAACGGCTGAATGTGTGTAGACATTGCCAGAAGCCTGGCTGGTGCCCCAAGGCCCCAAGGCCCCAAGGCCCCAAGGCCCCAAGGCCCCAAGGCCCCAACTGGATCAGTGGGGATCGTCATCCCATCCAAATCGAACAGAATCGAACAGAATCGAACAGAATCGAACAGAATCGAACAGAATCGAACAGAATCATGAACCATGCTTAGTCCTGAACCCCTATCTTTTTACAAGCGGCTGGTAATCATGGCTGACAATTACTTAGAGCAATGATGATCTAAGCAGGGCCGTTCTAGTGGATGTGTGGCTGCACCAAGGTGACTGTCGGCGCCTGCGTCATTGGCTTCAAAATATTTCATCATGGTGTCGTATGCCTTCCTTAGACGACTTTGGCCAAGGGCTGATGTGCTGATCATGGCAATGATGTAACCATATTGTGAAAGGACAGTGTGATGATGACATCACATTATATATAATATGTATAATGTATTTGTACAATTGCAAATGCATACTGTGTCAAGTCTGAGGGTGGAAGTGGAGACATATTTTCCAGACCCGCCAAGTACCTTGAGTGGGAAGCTGCCCCAACTGGGAGTTTCCCCAGTCAGTTGGGATCAGTTGGGATCATCCCCTAGAGACAATTCCGGCTACCTGGTATCTGACATCCAAATTTAAAAACATGGGCTAAACATGGCTAAACCATCTCAGGAAAATCCATGGTGATGGGATAGGCATCACCTCGCACCTTGAATACAATGAGTTCTATGATGTACAATGGTACAATGTCCCTAGGCCCCAAGCAACACTCGGACAATCTGACACCGTGGGATAGGCATCTACAAAAACTGAGTCCAAGTGCTCAAGTTCCAATGAAATTTTCCATGATGTTTGCCTTGTGGAAGGGGATGGTGTTCCAACAAACTTAACTTGGTGAATGGATCAAAATCCTATAGATGTTTATGGTAAAAATATAGTTCATGGGCGACTCCGGCGCGCCAAGTTTCTTGACAACGGGCCCATTGTGAACGTCGCAAAACAAGGACACATAAACTCCTTGCAGTTGCCGCTTTTGGGCTCGAATTAGGATGTCTACCAATCGCCGCACGGATTCGAATCAAGGAAAGGTTTTGAGAGATCAAACAACACACTCAAATGCAATAATGCAATACAGTAATATGCAATAATTTCTGTGTTTTACGAAAACCAAATCATGCGTTTTGTGGAGTACATGCCTGAAAATTGCGTTTACATGCGTTTCCATCATTACATACTACAGCATCTATCTGGATTTTCTTTCATAAAAACTGAGCTGAATAGTTCGGTTATTTTGGGATATTTATAGCAATAACTAGACCTCTCCAATAGTTGGTTTATAAGCCCAAATATCATCAGATATCTAACTATATCTATGATCTATATCATATATATATATAAATATAAATATACATATAATAATGATGATTACACAAGTGTATGTCTACAAGTAACATAAATCATAGACGTCATACTCCCCATCCCATCCCCGCAACGCCGCAACACGGCCCGTCTCCTCGCGCGCATAGGGCACGCAACACCGCCAAGGCGCCCAGGGGGCCGTCGGTTTCACAGCCCCCGAAGGCACCTTTGGGTCCCTTAGGCGTCGAGCTGCAGTACATATCCCAATATTAAATAAATATAAATATAATATACAATACAATATTATATATAGCATGGGAGATTATAAATTTATTTACCAGTAGTACCGCACAAGGCGGTGGCGGAAGTTTCAAAAATAGGAAACCTATAGGAGAGGTTGGTTGTTGTGAATCACGGATGGCAGAGCGAAGACACTGATGGATCGAAAGGTGGTTGATGTTCTTTCTCTCTCTCTTTCTGTCTCTTTCTCTGACTATCTACCTACCTACCCACCTATCTATGTATCCATCTATGTAACCACCTGTCTATCCATCTATCTATCCATCTATCTATCTATCCATCCATCCATCCATCTATCTATCTAATCTACCTAATCTATCTAATCTATCTAATCTATATATATCTATCTATCTATCTACCTACCTATCTATCTATCTATCTATCCATCTATCTATCTATCTATCTATCTAGCTGTCTATCTATCCATCTATCTATTTATCTATCTATCTATCTCTCTCTCTCTCTCTATTAATCTAATCTAATCTAATCTATTCTAATCTAATCTATCTATCTATCTATCTATCTATCTCACTCATCTGTCTATCTGTCTATCTATCTATCTACCTAATCTAATCTAATCTAATCTAATCTCTAATCTAATCTAATCTAATCTATCTATCTATCTCACTCATCTGTCTATCTAACTATGTATCTTTCTAACTACCTATTTACCTATTTACCTATCTATCTATCTATCCACCTTTCTGTCTGTCTGTCTGTCTGTCTGTCTGTCTGTCTGTCTGTCTGTCTATCTCCCTGTCTGTCTGTCTGTCTGTCTGTCTATCTACCTGTCTATCTACCTGTCTATCTGCAAGCTTGAAAACGAAACTGTTCTGCGAGACGTCCTCAGGTTTTGGACTTGACAACATCAAATTCTGCGAGACGTCCTCAGGTTTTGAACTTGACAACGTCAAAAACGAAACAATTCTACCAATGCGTTTTGCGATTTTCCACTCCACCTGTCGAAAGTACCGCGCCTACCACGAAAAATTGATGCCAGGTCATACGAAGTGCTGCACCTGTCACGCAAAATCATCTTAGCAAACCTCAGATCTGATGCTCCAAAATGCAACCCCTCTCAGGAAATCAGCGCCCTGACCTCCTAACATCTCTGATGACCTTGTCTTTTGTACTGCACCTGCCGCGCGAAATGCTTCTTTGCAGATCCTCTTCAAATGTCCCACGCCTGCCATCGTTTTTGGAAACGCTACAAAACCCACACGTTTTGCTCACTTTTGACAAGGTGCACAATCCCTTGCACCTGCCACGCGAAACGACATCTGAACTTCCAAAAGTGGTCCAAACCCCTTGTGTTTTTAACATTTTGACTTCGAAATGTGCTTCGCACCACAACGCCGTGCACTTTTTCGACATCTCAACTTCCAAGTGGTCCGGACCTGGTGTGCTTTGTACATTTTGACTTCGAAATGTGCTTCGCGCCGCAACGGCGTGCAATTTTTCATCTCTTATCTGGCCAGATGGCTCCGCACCCGCCGCTTTAGCGAACCTACTTTTCGACCCTCCGGAGCCACAAATCATTGGAAAAACACAGTGTTTCGCGACTTTCCTACCTTTTCGCGCATCTGCATCTTCTTTCTTCTGACTCTTTCTCTTCTCTGATCTTCTCTCTTCTACTCTTCTCTTCTCTCTGACTCTTCCCATCTCTGCTTTTCATCTGTCCATACTGTCGGAAGTTTGACTTCTAAACTTCCTTCGAATATACATATATATATAATAATTATTATTATGTATATTTATGTATCTTTATGTATCTTTATGTATATTTATGTATATTTATGTATATTTACGTATAGTACATATAGGCTGTACTTGTTGGGATCATGAAATAGTATATATGAAATAGTTAAAGTAATTATATGATAACTGGTAATAGTTCACTGACCTGAATTAAGGCTAATATCGGGATGAGTCCCCGAATCCGAACCATCATTCCAGTGGGGAGAACAGTGAGGTCGTTATAATTTTCCAGTGGGGTATGCCTACCATGTAAATAGATGTAATATATAATATAATATAATATCATATCATATCATATCAAATCATATCACATAATAATATACATATATATCTAAACCCTGCATGAATCTCTTGCTTCAATCCAACCAACTTGTTGTTGAATTCGGTGATTTCTGCGGTGGTTTCCTTCGTCATGGGGGTACCCCTAGTTATCATCAACTGTTTCTGTCTTCCATACAAAAAACCATCCCATTGATGGAAACCCCTTAAATGGGGTATACCCAGTCATGGCGAGGCAATGAAGGCTATATATATATATATACATATATATAAATGATATACATAAATGGCTTAATATGGATGATTGTGTATAGTCATCCCACCAGGGATTCTGTAGAATGTGGGAAACCCAATGCCATAAACCTACCATTTGGGGATGGTTTTAATCCCACCCAGAGACATGGTGATGACTTGGGGATGATTTATGGCATTGGCTTCACCACATTACCCCGTCATAGCTATCCATGGGAAGATAGGAATACCCTCCAGTGTCATCCAACGTGGCAAGCTGGGAAACCCCAGACTAAATGGAGGTTGGGTGGGAAAATCATCACTGAGGGATTTTCCAGCCAGCCATGTTTGATTACCAGGGGGTATGTTGTAATATATAGGAAAAGTAGTAGAAACAGGGCATGAAATCATATAGGAATATAGGAAATGAAATACAGTATATGAATATTACATAGCCTGATTCTTGTTAAGGAAAATATGGCAAAAACACAGGAATACAAAACCAACCCATTGGAATGAGGGGTACCCTATTGCTGCAGTTGGGTTTATCAATGGCTACAGCCATGGGATTTTAACCACTATACAAGTAAGTTGGCCTGACCACTTTGGTCTATAGTTGTATATATCCCCACGAGTGACTGGAAATGCAGCCCCCAAATGCCCTACCAAGAAATGGCTATCAAATAATGGTGAAAATGATGGCGATCCATTGATATTAGCGGCATCCTATGTTCCAAATCCAGATTTATCATGATTTATCTACGAGCTCAAAAGTGATTGGTGGTTACGAGCTCAAAAGTGATTGGTGGTTAAGCTAAGGAAAACAAGTGGTTTTGCTGGCTCTCTCTGCAAAAAACAGGTAAAACTGTAGGATACTGTAGGTAAAACTGGATAAACCCCTAACAATGAAGTTGTTGATTATGTTTATCCTAATGCTTCCTCTTTTTATCGATACCACTTGGGGATATCCCATTCTCAGACACACCTTATATAATCTTATATAACGGGTACCTGTACGGATCAGGGGGTACCAATGGACCCGCAGAATTTTGGAAAACTGCCTAATACATCCAATGGTCGTGATATCAATATATGGGGTCTTCTCTAAATTCCTTTTCCCGGATTCGGGCGAAAATCAAATTCATTGCGTATTTACAGGACTCTACCTTTAAAGTTCAAATGTCCCAACAGACCTCAAACATGAGTGAAGAAAGTTGTGACTGATTGATTCGCATCAAACTCTTGCAAACGTAGCTAGCGCGCGCTTTCAGCTCCAGCTGCTGGAGCTACTGGAAACACTATTTATCCCACCCTGCGTGGATTCTTTGTTCGGTCTAACAACGCAGACTCCAGGGCCCACATCCCAGTTGCTGCTACCAGCTCGAAGCAAACAGTGCTCTTGCGTTTTCAAGTGCATTGAGTTGACCAACGGGCAACTGTGTATTTTTGGGGCAATTATCTAGCGCGGATCTACCGCCAGAACTACGTTCAGCCTAGCCATTGAAAATTGGAAAGCGATTGTTTTCACATATCTTTACAAGTCACGTTTGTGATGCTGGCCAAAAGAAGGTGAAGCGGGAATGCAGCTAAAGAGATTTGCGAAAAGTAAGGCTACTGAGGAGTTGCCCAAACAGGACCGGAAACAAGAGGTGCAAGAATCTGCAAGAAAGCAAGAGGGAAAGAAAGCAGCGGGCCTGACTATGTTTCACTTGAGTGGCTATGTAAAGTATCTATAGCGCCACACTAACGCAAATCTAGCGCCAACTTTCAGGAAAGCGATTTCACTGCATATATATACAAGACTCTGCCTTGTAAGGAAATCTAAAATACGTTAAGATACATCACTGCCCAAATATTTATGGCCCTCAGATTCAACAGTTCCTTATAGGCATTTTAGAGTGGATCTCATATAGTAATCTATAGTTTTTCCACCATTTCTGCAAAGCTGGGCTCTGGTATCCAGACATGTAAATCATGTGGTCTGAAGGATTACTCAGAAAACTGGCCCACCCATCCCGCTTCCAGGACTAACAAGGAGGTGGAGGCGCTGGAAAAAGAAACTGGATAGTGGGGAAGATCACAAAAGCATCCAGACATATCCACCGTGGCAAAAAGGCAGGAATGCACCTGCCAAAAAAACAGCGACACGAAACGGGCCCAAAAGGCACCGAGACGGCCACCGGATGAACCCCCACGCCCCTAGGCGAATTTCACTTCGTAAATTGGGGAAAAAAGGAAGGCTCACCGCGGTAGGTTCAGGAAGAGCACGAAGGGCAGGCAAGAGATGCGGGCTCATCTATATAGTTTAGAGATGTTTAGAGTTAATTAATGTGTTCCGCATTTGGGGCCGGTGACGCCACCCTTGTCGCCGCCACCACGCCTCGGCACCTTTCTGATGCAACACAAAGAAGCCAGTGATGACCAAGGCATGTTTTGCCTGCCCCAGGACTCGGGTCACCAAGAATCAAAAAACATCTGAAAACTGAGTCTGGAGTCCCCCAAAAAATGAGATTCCCCCAGAGAATCAGCTTCCACACTTCATCTTTCAGGTTCTATGTTGGTTTCAAGGAGGGTACGAGTACTTAGCAACGATATGCAATGATAAGGAATTCATTGGAACCCTCACCCACCCAGAATCATCTACACTTTCAGTCGCCACCAGAATCACTCCTGTGCCAATGGGGATCCCCCGTTCACCTTCACTTTCTACCACGATCTCAGCAAACAGAACAGCGTCCCAAAAATGCAAAAACAGCTTCGATCCCAACACTGACAGGTCAAGAACAACAACTCAGGGAGAGGGATGCAGAAGAACCCCTCTAGCAAGTAGCAAACAAACCGGAAGGCAATGGAAATCTTTTGACCCTCTATCCCCCAGATCATCAGAGAGGCAGTTCCTAGTCTAACTTCAGAATTGAACTGTAACAGCTGTACTTTAGTTCGCTCTTGAACACCTGAGATTTTGCTGTACCACGTGAAATAACCAAAGTGTAAAGTCCCATTTCCGACCGGTAAAATATTTCCGACCGGTAAAATATGCCCCTGTTGGTACTGGGTCCATCTATACAAAATCAGCAAAAATCATCCAAAATCCAAGATGCAGAAACCCCATCAAACCCCCAAGGTTGTTTCACGCTAGAAACTGGCCAGGGAGCCCCTGGTGTTCCCGGGCACCTTCTTGAAAACGGTCACCGCTTCGGACAGACTGGGATAAACCCCATGTTCCACCGCCTACCGGGGTGAGATATGGTGAGATCAAGGAGTTCTTGGGATCATTATTTCAGTAGGGCTCAAAATGGTTGAAGATAATGTCTGAATGTATCCAAATGCGCAACACTGTCCAGGCACTATCAGCCACTGAACAGTGAAGCATGAAGATTCAACATCTCCCAAAACAAAGTTTACTGCAAATAGCAGGAACAGCACATGTTAAGCCCTGGCGGTTCAAACTCCGAACGAGGCAAGTGGATGAAAGTGGATCGTCAGCCCAAATGTGGATGGTAAAATACAAGTTTGAGATCACCAAGCAGCAAGAGTCTGCTGGTTGATTCTTATCTCATGGTTCCGGTTTGTCTCTGGCATTCTCTGGCTATTTTGCTGTTTAGTATATGTTGTTTTCTCGATTGGCTGTCCGTTTGTGTGTAGTTCCTTGCTTCGTTCCGCAATTGCTTCCTTGCTTGCTTGGTTGGCTCTTTGAGGGTTTGTCTGAGTGTTTGTAAGTTTGTAATGTATTCGGATGTCCTTGTGGTTGCTGTGCTCCGCATAAACTAGAGATTCTCCCCCGAAAGGCACATGGGCGAAGAACTCAAGTGAGCAATGTCAAAAACTGATTGGAAAATCCTCAAAAAAAATGAATGTTGCTCGTGCAATTTTGAATTAACGGATTATGACAATCTAGAGAGAGAGAGAGAGAGCTTGATACAGATAGAAAGACGATAGAAAGACGGTGTAGCGTAACCCCCTTCTAATCATCAAACATTTCAAGTGCTGAAGTCGGGTTGCCTTCTGATAGATCTTCTCGATGTTACGACCTGATGCACCGTGGAGTGTTCTCAGCCCCCAGCAGGTATTGTTGCGTGCGACCTCCCGTCCTAACTGTCTGAGGCTGTCCAAATTAACTCCCGAATCCTAGCCCAGTTCTTAAAGAAAAAACACAAAGGTCAAACAAGGCCGTGTTGACCACAATGAACAATTCAGAATTGTTTGAATCTATGTAACAAAGAAATACCACAAATAGCATGCGCGAGACAGGCCTTCAAATACAATTGCATAGTTCGCATTTGGCCACAACTCAAAAAAATACCCCGAACATACTCAGGACATATTGACGGTATATCGCAACCGGATGCAACCATACACAGGACCTATTGACGGTATATCGCAACTGGATGTACAAACACGCATCTTCAGACAACTTCAGTGGCTTAAATCAACCCAAGCAATACGCTGCGCATCCTCTGCCAAGTGACCACAGTAGCTACCACTGTACTGGAAACCCTTCGCAAATTCTCCATCTGCACTAGGTCCCACCTGTGCAGGAGGCCGGTGGGGTGGAATGCAAACTGGCTACGGCTTTGAAAATCGGGCACGCTTAAATTTAATCCATCAGATCTATCATGATCTATCATCATCATAATTAGAATGGCTGTTTTCGGGATACCGTCCACGCTGACCCCAAGGACCACTTATTGCTACTGGACCAACAAGTACCCATTTCAGACACATATGTTTAGTACTCAAATAGAACCATCATCCCAATCAGGGATGAAGATACAAGGGACTAAACAATTACCACCGATGAACCAATCGAACATCGAAAGTTGCAGAAGCCTCACCAAGTCCACAGCACTCAATGGCACTCAAAGGATGTCAATGGGATTATCCAGTCAGCTGCTTTGAGTTACAGCATTTGCAACTATCCACATTGTCAGTGGGACATACACTAGGTTGAACAGTGTTGAACCCCGTCATTCCGTGAAATATGAGTTGCTTCGTAGTGATTCCAATTTGGGATTATTATGGATTATTACAATTCGATACAATTCGCAATATACAAATCAAACATCATCAAACAAGGATAGTCCAGGATAGTCTTGAACATTGTTCAATTGTTTGCGCAGGTTCCAACATTGTCAACACATAACCTGATTTTATTGACGGCTTGGTTTTCCATGGTTTTCCATCATCATGTTGGGAGACTTGTAGGACTGCCCGCAAGCTTCCCCATGGACACCAGGTGAGCCCCTCTCAAATAGAATCACAGATGGTTTAGGAGAGAAACTTCCGTGTTGCGGACGATGAACAAATTAAAAGAGGACAGAGATAGGACAGAGTAGAAAAGAGTAGTGTAGGGTAGAGAGAAGAAAAAGAAGAGTAGAGTCGGTTTACACTTTTTGGAGAAAGTATTTCACGAAAGTTTCACGTTTAATTATATATTGTGCAACTTTCATGGGAAGTCTCGCACAAAAGCTCCGTTTTCACAACTTCAAGTTGCCGTGTTTGGAAGACGTCTCCCACACAAGCCCTGCTTGTACCACTTCGACTTGCAGTTTTGGAGGACACCTCGCACGGAAGCCTTGTTTTGCACAATTTCAACTTGCAGTTTTAGAGGAAGTCTTGCATGAAGGCTTCGCTTTGATAATTTCAACCAGCAGTGTTTGAAGTAAGTCTCGCACGAAATGTGCTTTAGAAAACTAGTCCTCGGAAGATGGATGGGAAAGGTTTGCTGCGACGGTTGCGCGATGGTCGCCGCCATCACCTGACCCGCAGTGGAACTGTGGTTTCGAGGGTTTCGCAGTGCTTTGATTCACACGTTTTTCTACAAGTATGGACTTTTGCAACTCCATGCTTGCAATTCGCATTGGAGTCCATTGGGTCTGGATGCGTCAATATTGCTCAGTGGTACTGCTGGGCACTTTGCTATGCATCCCTCTGCTTGCAAATCGCATAGGAGTGGCTGCATCAAAGCGACAGTTGAATACAATTGAAACATATGTATGCGCGATGGCTTCAAAATCGTACTTTTTCTGCTTTGGCGTCGAGATCCGATTTGGTAGCCTAATTGCTGTGTTCAGGTGTTTTTCCCCACATCTTTGTGTGGGGTTCTTGTTTTTGATTCTGTATCCCGGGTTCTTCCCCGCCTCCTCCCGCCTCGCGCCGCCTCCTCTTCACACACATCTTTCACACACCATCTTTGTCAACCATCTTTGTCAACCATCATCTTTCACACACCATCTTTCACACACCATCTCTCACACACCATCTCTCACACACCATCTCTCACACACATCTTTGTCAACCACCAGCTTTCACACACCATCTTTCACACACCATCTTTTACACACACCATCTTTCATGTCAACCATCTTTGTCAACCACCATCTTTCACACACCATCTTTTACACACCATCTTTCGTTTTCCACCTGGCGTGGCACTTGGCGAATCTTGGCGACGTATACCTTCGTTTTGCGTGGCGGGCGTGGCACTTCTGGCGTTGGGCTGGCTCTGGTGGCGCGCTTGGGCCGGTTTTGGTCGCCGGTGGCGCCGTGGCACTTTGCATGGCAGGCGTGGCACTTGGTGACATCCACCTTCGTTTCGCGTGGCAGGCGTGGCACTTGGTCACATCCACCTTCGTTTTGCGTGGCAGGCGTCGCATTTATGGCACTGGGCTGGCTCTGGTGGCGCGCTTGGGCCGGTTTTGGTCGCCGGTGACGCCGCGGCACTTTGCGTGGCAGGCGTGGCACTTGGTGACATCCACCTTCGTTTCGCGTGGCAGGCGTGGCACTTGGTCACATCCACCTTCGTTTTGCTGGCAGGCGTGGCACTTGTGGCATTGGGCTGCCTCCGGTGGCGCGCTTGGGCCGGTTTTGGTCGCCAGTGACGCCGCGGCACTTTGCGTGGCAGGCGTGGCACTTGGTGACATCCACCTTCGTTTCGTGTGGCAGGCGTGGCACTTGGTCACATCCACCTTCGTTTTGCTGGCAGGCGTGGCACTTGTGGCATTGGGCTGCCTCCGGTGGCGCGCTTGGGCCGGTTTTGGTCGCCAGTGACGCCGCGGCACTTTGCGTGGCAGGCGTGGCACTTGGTGACATCCACCTTTTTTGCGTGGCAGGCGTGGCACTTGTGGCATTGGGCTGGCTCTGGTGGCGCGCTTGGGCCGGTTTTGGTTGCCGGTGACGCCGCGGCACTTTGCGTGGCAGACGTGGCGCTTGGTGACATCCACCTTCGTTTCGCGTTCTTTCACACACCATCTTTTACACACCATCTTTGGCACCCAACTTTTACACACCATCTTTGACACTCCCTCTTTCACACACCATCTTTCACACACCACCTTGTCACACACCATCTTTCACACACCATCGTTGACACCATTGTTCACACCACTTTGTCACACACCATCTTTCACACACCGTCACAGACCATCTTTCACACATCACTTTGTCACACACCATCTTTCACACACCACCTTGTCACACACCATCTTTCAAACACCATCTTTCACACACCATCTTTGACACACCATCTTTCACACACACACACTATCTTTCACACACCACTTTGTCTCACACCATCTTTCACCACACCATCTTTCACACACACACAACTTTGTCGCACACCATCTTTCACCACACCATCTTTCACACACACACACAACTTTGTCACACACCATCTTTCGCCACATCATCTTTCGCCACACCATCTTTCATACACCACTTAATCTCACACCATCTTTCACACACCACTTTGTCTCACACCATCTTTCACCACGCCATCTTTCACACACCACTTTGTCACACACCATCTTTCACACACCATCTTTGTCACACGCTCTCTTTCACACACAACTTTCACACACACCATCTTTCACACACAACTTTGTCACACACACACACACCATCTTCTTTGTCACACACAATCTTTCACATACAACTTTGTCACCCACAACTTTGTTTTACTTCTTGATCCTCCACCACCTTCTTTGTCTTTCCTTCCTTCCCCGTCCCCGCTGCAACATCTGGTGCTCATTATTGGAAGAAGTTGCCTTGTGGGGCTATCCGGTCCTTTAATTTTTGCACGGCGCTGAGAAGTCAGAGGCGTCAAGGGAAAGCATTGTGACTTCTAGGAAAAGTGATGAAGAGAAAGAGATGTGAAGAGAAACGAGGCTTCAAGGGAAAGAGATGTCAAGAAAGAGTGATGACAGGCAACAAGGGTACAGAAAAAAGGGCTGCGAAGACAAAGAGATGCCAAGCACAAAAGATGCCAGAGAGAAAGGGATGTCAAATGAAGACGGCAAAAGAAAGATATGTGAAGAGAAAGAGATGCCACGAAAAGACTTGAGAAAGGCCCCTCAGAGAAAGAGATGCCAGAAAAAGGAGATGAGAAGAGGAAGAGATGTCAAGTGACAGAGATGTCAAGAGAGAAAAAGAGATCAAGAGACAGCGATGGTTTAGACAAAAAGATGATTAGGCAAAGAGATGCCGAGAGGCAAAACTGTCAAGAAGGGACATGTCCAAAGAATGAGAATTCAACAGACAGAAATGTCCCTGGAAAGAGCTGGCATGAGAAGGAGATGCCAAGAGAAAGAGATGTCAAGAAAAAGAGATGAGAAGAGAAAGAACTGAGAAGAGGAATATCAAGAGCAAGAGACGGCAAAAGAAAGAGATGAGACGCGACAGACATGTCAAGAGGTCGTTTTTTTCAAGGCACTAGTGATCTCGCATACATCGTATACGCACATCCTTTCTTTTGCCCTTTTGGTCTTTAATCTCTGAAACTTCCACCGGCATCTTGCGCGTGTACCACTCGTATGCACATATCCTATACATCTCTTGAAACCCATCTACCAGAGGATACGGATTGGGTCAACCCAAAACTGGACTGTCAATACGAATAACCCAAAATATCCCAAACAATATATTGCTCGATGTCCTTTTTGTTGGTTGAGCCCTTCATGGGGAAACCAGCCTCCTCCAGGTATTTCCGATAGTCATCTGGACCTTCAGTCCGACAGCCGGTGCAGGACCGTGATAGGAGTCGCGTCTTAAGTGCGATAAAATCATGCACAACTTTATTGAAAAGAGCTATGCACAAAAGTGAAAATGAAATATTATATGTATACATCGATAATTATCGAAGGAAGTTTAGAAGTCAAACTTCCCACAATATGGACAGATGAAAAGCAGAGATGGGCAGAGGCAGAGAGAAGAGAATAGTAGAAGAGAGCAGATCAGGAGAAGAGAAAGAGTCAGAAGAAAGAAGATGCAGATGCGCGAAAAGGTAGGAAAGTCACGAAACACTATGTTTTTCCAATGATTTGTGGCTCCGGAGGGTCGAAAAGTAGGATCGCAAGCGGCGGGTGCGGAGCCATCTGGCCAGATGAGAGATGAACAATTGCACGCTGTTGTGGCGCGAAGCACATTTTGAAGTCAAAATGTACAAAATACACCAGGTTCAGATCACTTTTGGAAGTTGAGATGTTGAAAACGTTGTGGAGCGAAGCACATTTTGAAGTCAAAAGTGCAAAAAACTGACGGGTACAGAGCGCTTTTGGACGTTCAGATGTGCTTTCGCCTGGCAGGCGCAAGGGATTGTGCACCTTGTCAAAAGTGAGCCAAACGTGAGGGCGTGGGACATTTGAAGAGGACCTTCAAAGATGCATTTCGCGTGGGAGGCGCAGTACAAAAGACATGTTCAAGTTCATCAGAAATGTTAGGAGGTCAGGGCGCTGATTTCCTGAGAGGGGTTGCATTTTGGAGCATCAGATCTTCAGGTTTGCTGGGATGATTTTGCGTGACAGGTGCAGCACTTCGTATGACTTGGCATCACTTTTTCGTGGCAGGCGCAGTACTTTCGACAGGTGGACTGGAAAAATCGCAAAACGCAATGGTACGAAGCTGTTAGCTCTTCACTCAACTTTCCATTTTTGAAGGAAGTCGGCAGAAATGCATTGTTTTTGATGTTGTCAGGTTGAAAAATTGAAGAAGTCTCGCAGAAGTGCTTCGTTTTGATGTTGTCAACTTTGAAAAACAAGGAAGTCTCGCAGAATTGCTTCGTTTTTGATGTGGTCAACTTCAAAAAATGAGGAAGTCTCGCAGAATTGCTTCGTTTTTGATGTTGTCAACTTCAAAAAATGAGGAAGTCTTGCAGAAATGCAGCGTTTTTGATGTTGTCAACTTGGAAAAATGAAGAAGCCTCGTAGAGTAGCAGGGTTTTCAAGCTTGCAGATAGTCAGGTAGATAGACAGGCAGACAGACAGACAGACTGAGAGATACAGATAGATAGATAGATAGATAGATAGGTAGATAGATAGATAGATTAGGTAAATAGGTAAATAGGTAAATAGGTAAATAGGTAAATAGGTAAATAGCTAAATAGGTAAATAGGTAGTTAGATAGATACATAGTTAGATAGACAGATGAGTGAGATAGATAGATAGATAGATAGATAGATAGATAGATAGATAGATAGATAAGATAAGATAAGATAAGATTAGATTAGATTAGATGGGATGGGATTAGATTAGATTAGATAGGATAGATAGGTAGATAGATAGATAGATAGAAAGATAGATAGATAGATAGATTAGATAGATAGATGGATAGATAGATAGTTAAATAGTTAGATAGTTAGATAGATAGATAGATAGTTAGATAGATAGATAGCTAGCTAGATAGATAGATAGATAGGTAGATAGATAGATAGATAGATGTGTAAATAGATAAATAGGTAAATAGATAAATGGGTAAATAGGTAGTTAGATAGACACATAGTTAGATAGACAGATGAGTGAGATAGATAGAAAGATAGATAGATAGATAGATAGATACATAGATAGATAGACAGGTAGATAAATAGATAGATAGATAGACAGATAGATAGATAGATAGGTAGATAGGTAGATAGATAGATAGGTAGATAGATAGATAGATGGATAGATAGATAGGTAGATAGATAGAAAGATAGATAGGTAGATTTGATTAGATTAGATTAGATTAGGTCAGGTTAGGTTAGATTAAATTAGATTAGATTAGATTAGATTTGATTAGATAGATGGATAGATGGATAGATGGATAGATGGATAGATGGATAGATGGATAGATCGATAGATCGATAGATCGATAGATCGATAGATACATAGTTAGGTAGACAGATGAGTGAGATAGATAGATAGATAGATAGATAGATTAGATAGATTAGATAGATTAGATCGATTAGATCGATTAGATCGATTAGATCGATTAGATCGATTAGATCGATTAGATCGATTAGATAGATTAGATAGATTAGATTGATTAGATCGATTAGATAGATTAGATCGATTAGATAGATTAGGTAGATTAGATAGATTAGATAGATGAGATAGATGAGATAGATGAGATAGATGAGATAGATTAGATAGATTAGATAGATTAGATAGATTAGATAGATTAGATAGATTAGATAGATTAGATAGATAAGATAGATAGATAGAAAAGATAGAAAAGATAGACAAGATAGATAAGATAGATAAGATAGGTAAGATAGATAAGATAGATAAGATAGATAAGATAGATAGATTGATAGATTGGTAGATTGATAGATTGATAGATTGATAGATTGATAGATAGATAGATAGATAGATGGATAGATAGATAGATAGATAGATAGTTAGATAGTTAGATAGATAGATAGATAGATGAATAGATAGAAAGATAGATAGATAGATAGATGGATGGATAGATAGATAGATAGATAGTTAGATAGTTAGATAGATAGATAGATGAATAGATAGAAAGATAGATAGATAGATAGATAGATGGATAGATAGATAGATAGATTAGATAGATAGATGGATAGATGGATAGATAGATAGTTAGATAGTTAGATAGACGGATGAGAGAGAGAGAGAGAGATAGATCGATATATAGATAGATAGATCGGTAGGTAGGTAGGTAGATAATCAGGGAAAGAGAGAGAAACAGAGCAAAAGAGAGAGAAAGAGTGAGAGAGATCAATCACCTTTGAGTCCATCAGTGGATTCGCTCTGCCATCCGTGAGTCACAACAACCAACCTCTCCTATAGGTTTCCTATTTTCGAAACTTCCGCCACCGCCTTGTGCGGTACTACTGGTATATTAGTGTGTGAGAGATCTTTCTTCAATACATTAATGATCATTAATGGAGTACGAGGTGAGAAACATGCATGATGTATCGGTGTGAGATGTCAATGTTAGATATGTGTAGATGTAAGACGCGTCGGCGTTGATGGTGCAAATGGAAGATGTGTACATCTGTGTAAATGTGCAGATATGATCAGATATATATGTCGGTGTGAGATCTGTAGGTGTTACAAGTGTATATAGATGTATATCAAGAGAACCCTTCGCATTGCCGCTCTGGTCTTGAACCATTACGATGCAATTACAACCAGTGCTTCGGGCTGGAACCTCACAAAAGAATATTGCGAGTCAGAAAATCATGTTTCACCAAGTGAGTTTGCTTAGATATGTTTAGCATTTTTTTTAGCCATGGTAGGATACCAATCACTGTGAAAAGTCCACGCAAATCAACTGAAGTTATGCTCAGCCCCGAGATCCTTTTTTTCGTGGTCCAACCTATTATATTGGATATAAATGGATTTAATATGTTCCAATTGGCTCATGATACTCTGCCCCATCTCCCCCTTAGAACCAAATAGAACCAACAAAAAGCATACCAAAACAACAACACCTGGCAACACCTCAGTGACCAGGCAACTGAAAACGCATGCGATCTCCATGGCTTTGACGCGGGCCGCCATTGCACGAGACCGCCGGGACCAAGGATGACCTGGAAATCACTGGATTTTTGCTACCCAAAGTCCAGATTTTTCACCTTGGGGATGGCTGGGGGATCATCTTGATACTGCCAGCTGCAGGGGCAACAGCAGAACGGCTGATCCTCGAATGGTCCAAGCTTATGACATCCAGCCTGATGACTCCACCCAGCTGAGCTCACGGTTTCTCATCCCTCCAACACTTCTTCCGGTTCGTAGAAGTCCTCCAATTTTGCATACGTAAGTTCATTCCAACTTCACCGGTCTTCACCATCTTCTATCTTGAATTTCTTTTGGGGGGAGCTTGTGATTGTTGGAAAACCTAAACTGTTCGGCCCAAAATTCCAAGTCCACCCACCTTTTATCCTGTACAGAGACTGTATGGGTTGCACTCCTAGATTTTGTTAGAGAGTGCTGGTTGCGCCGCCTCCCGGCATATTAGTCGCAGCTATAAGGGAGAGGAGAACGGAGGCACCACGATGATCCGACAGTGGGTCGCAACAAACTCTCGGCGAAAACAATGCCCCAAGATAGCTCGTGCCCTGATGATAAGTGATATACTAAATGCAAATGCAAATCAAAATGCTCTAGGCTCTAAGTACTTGAGTTGACCGTTACCAACTTACTTGGTGGGATCAATGCAAGCCTCGATCTGAATCGCAAGAATTCAGAAATGGATGGCGTCAGAGGACTCTGTGCCAGGGAAGTTGCCCACTGGGCGATGAAACATGATGAAGCCGTGGCCCAACCACGATGAAACGGATGCCATCAGCACGCGAAACGATACTACGGTTTGTGGATCCCGTCGCGAATTGTTATACAGTTGGACTAATTATTTGGTTGTAGGGAAGATGTGAAGGTTGTTTACTCACTCTTTTGATGCCTGTAGTTAAGGGTAGGCTATTGAAATGTTATATGATGTTGTATGTGTGTAAGTTCCTGTGCATTCAGGGTATCCTACCACTGTTTTGTCTGCGCATGGCTCAGAAATATGTACCTCCCAAATCGGAATGCTAGGAACAAAAATAACCTGGGAACACAGGAAACACCATGATGAAACTCTGCTGGATTGACAGGTCGCAATGTTCGTTCGCCCTGGCACAGAGTCGATGGTCCTCCATGGATCACGCCTTGAATCTGGTGATTCAGTGGCCGTTTTCCGATGTGAGAAACCACCACCGGACATTGGATCGCTGGTGCCCACCAGCTCACCAGGATGTGAACAAATAAATGAAGGAGATTGGATGATTTTGGTAAAGTATTTTTATGATTTGTTTATGTATTTTTGGGGTTGACCCATAAGAAGGAATTGTTGATGGAGGATTGACCACCCAAAATAGAAGGCTTGGCGTCTGGGAAGATGCTGTATATCACCAGGGGACCAAGGAGAAAACGAGGGAAACAAACCCTCATGAGGAATGAGTGAGCCATGGTAGTATGTGGGGGGCTCTTCAAATGGGGGATCCCCAAGTCACCATAGGTTTCAATACTGAAATGGTCTAATGACTTGGATTTTTTCGGGGGGTACCCTCCAGTTTGGGAAATCTCCACGTGTATGCCCTAACACGTCCCGGCTCCTTAGCAATCCATCGCGCACGGCTTGAGCTCCACTCTCTCAACGCCAAAAACGGCTACAATTCGCAGCTGCCGCATTGCGGTAGAGGCAGACTCGGCCATGGAGGACGGCTCAACATTCAAAAATGGGAATGCCCCAGGGCGGGACGCCCCAATCGCCATCGGGGACAATAAAATTCTGGGGTACCCGGCATGAGACAAACCCAACTGGACGACCTGAACAATGTACAGGTGCTGTGCGCAACTCCTATCACCTGCAATGCGCAGCAGGGACAATTTGAGCTCGCGAGAACCAATAACCCACTCGCCGGCGCATCGGCCATTACGGACCGGTGCAGATGGTCTCAACATGGAATGGCATCAGTGGTCATCTACAGTACCTCTCACCATACTGAGCTCTTTTCGATTTTGGAATAATCAGGGATTATAATGGATTATAGTGTTCTGTATTATATTAAATTATAATGATTATATGGGTTGAAGTGCAGAAAATTCATGAAAGGCCTGTGTGCTTGTTCGTCCAAGGGTACTGCCCGGAAAACAAAAGCGCTCTACACACCTCTACAAAGGAATCAAGAATCAGATTATGCTGCAATGAATTGGACATTTCGCGTCAAAGCCATACACCCAACAGATCTGCATTGCATCATGACTGGTCGGTCCCCTTGGTCCCCTTTTGTGGATCGATGTGGATCGGTACCCAGCGATGTGTCTACTTTGTTTTCAGAACCCGGCGAGTATGGATCTGGAGAGTCGCAAGATGGGAACGCATCGGTATTCTGCTGTGACCTCGTCATCCCTGTCCGGACAACTCAACTTCTTCGTCATGTCATGGAAGTCCTCAAGGTTAGCCTGAATCTTCGCATGGCATTCAGGAAAGATAGTGGTTCATAGTCCTTGAAACAAGGTGAAAGCCTTGTGCAATTTCTGCCTTAGATTAAGAACATATCCTTGCTGCAAAGAAAGCCCTGACATCAGCTACAGAAAAGCCAACAGTTTGTGGAGTCACTCAAGCAACACTGTGCAAGTTGCGTGACTTTTGATGAACGGAGTAATTAATTATTAATAGCACATTCAATATCCCAAAAAGGGGACCCAAATGATGCAGTACTAAACAAGTGTTTTGTTGCGACGTCTTTGAAAATTTTGGGGAAAGGTTATTAGGAATGATCCCTTTCCATATCTTTCTTACCCAAAATGATCCAACATCCCCCAAATACTCACAGATGATTTCAGCAAATCTTTTCCGAGGACTATGAAATGAAGACACCATTGTTGCAAGCAATCACATCTGATAGTTTGATCCCGTTGGAGCTTTGTGGTTGAAAAACCTGCTTCAACCCCATCGCAATATCCTGGCTGCGGGGATAAGCTGTAACAATGTGATGTGGATGGGCAGTGGGCACAAATGGCGACACTTGCTGATATCAAAGGATGGGCCGCTGTCGCTCTGCAGCTGCAGTCACATACCCAGATGGTATCCCAAATCCTTGACTTTGAAAGTCACTGCTCTTGACACATAGCCGGAGCCGCTCTATCTACCCCCTGAATGCTGACACACATTTTCCAGAGTTTGCACGAAAGCAGCCTGGGAGGCAGAGAGCATTTCAGGAAGTGAAGCAAAAACGAATTCCATGCGCCGGAGAGCACAGCCATGCAGCGCATGAGGCAATAACCAAGACGGACGCCCCCGCAGGCCCTGCAGGACATTTCTTTCTATCCTGATTGAAACATATTGAGACTTGCTATCCAGATCTATGAAGCACTTTAACACATGTCTGATCCTCTTCTATGAATGTAGATAATCATAGTATAGCAGGCCATTCTGTTTGGTTGCAATCCAGCACTTTGGGAAGGAAAAACGATACAGTACATCAATGAAACCACTGCAAAAAAAAGATCAACTTGGTAGCTTCACTTGGCGGAAGTACAATATAAATATATCAAGAATAAACAAAACAAAAATGGTGTGTATATTATATATATACACGCAATTAATCATATTATATATATTATATATAGGCAATTAATCATATATAATCATATTATATATATAAGACCGCATGCCTTGAATGTTGTCTCTAGTGACAGACTCTTTGTGTGAGGTCACCCTGATTCCACTACGCATTAGGTTATGTTCAGCAACTACTAGCGGCCTTGACCATCAAATTCACTTTATGCTCCGTCCAGCAACTCAAATAATCTAGCCCTGCAAAATGGAGCGGCTGAAAGAATGTATTCATTGAGGCTGCTCTGAACTGCCAAACACATATATATTATAATATATTTTTCTGCATCATACACTACGAGTAGAATTATATAGATGTTATATTACAAACGATGATATAAACATGATGTAACATGTATAGCCTACCTCTTCTTGAACTTCTTGACACATTCAATAAGTTTCCTACTGCTGAGATCTTGGATTTGTTTTTCTTCAGCATCCCCGTGGGGGAGGCCAACACTTCTGGGTAACTACTCAGCTCTGTCGTCCGGTCGTTGCAGGGAGAAAAAAAAACAGCCATGTCTTTTCATTGTCTTAGTCGTTGTGAAGCCATCCAATCTAACATGTTATGTTTGATCAGCCAGTTGATTGGTGGATGGGTTATACTACTTGGTTACTTCGAAAAGACTATAACCAATGATCGAGATGCCTGTTAAATAACCAGAATAATGTGATGGGATAAGGGTGTACATATTATGTATATATATATGTATGTGTGCATTTGTTTCATCGCTCATATGGATAGTGTGGCTCAAGAGGGTACCAATTAAACCGCAAAAATTGGCACTTGTGAAGGGCACTTGATTGCAACGCATTGAAACCATGAAAACGCATATCACATATAGAGCATTGTTCAAAACAAACCAGCAACAATCTGAGCCAACTGGTATATCTATACCATAAATTGATTTATACCCTCCGGGAATTAAACGTGGCCTGCTGCAAAACCCCCCATTTAGTTCGATGATTTTCCCAGCTATAAACCTCCATTTCGTTCGGGGATTTCCGGCAGCAAATCCCTAAGGAGACTGGCATGAAGCAAACCACAAGAAGGGGCTTCCCCGGGCTCAGGGACTCAGGGTGATATTGGTGGAAAGAAACTATCTTGACGAGCATCTAATCATATGGAATTGTGGAGATTTAATGACATATAAATATACAATAATCTGTATATATATGATATATATATATATATATATTATATATATATATATGATATATATATATATATTATATATATTATATATATATCGTATATATATATATATATATCACATATATATATATATATATCATATATATCATATATATATCATATATATATATATCACATATGATATATATATATGATATATATATATATATATATGATATATATGATATATATATATATGATATATATATATATACGATATATATATAATATATATATATAATATATATAATATATATATGATATATATATATATCATATATATCGTATATATATATATATATCATATGTGATATATATATATATGATATATATATATATATGATATATATATATATATCATATATATATATCATATGTGATATATATATATGATATATATATATATATATCATATATATATAATTTATATCATATATATATATATACATAGTTAAGTAAACCTAGAGAAATCTAGAGCTGGATGGGTAAACCAATTCATCACTCGGGGGTCATCTTGCACTCCTGTAGGAGGTTACTTGATGGCATTCCCATTGCTTTCCATGGCATTTCCGGAATGCCGGGCTCTCTTTCTCGTCTCTACTGGTCCCCGTGAAGCCAGGTAGTTTCAACTAGATTTTGCTCGTGAGAATCGACAAGCAAAAAGAACAACAAATGGGCATCGCAGAGCTACTGTTGTTAGTGAAATTGTTGGTTTACAGTATGATCCAAACATCTTTCAGGAAACCACAAATCTCTTCGCCAATACCGATTATATCGGTATGGCTCAAAAGTGACTATTGTTTTGAGTGGCTCTTCAATTTTGACCAATGCATACAGATATGACAAGATATGACATGACTAACAAAATCGATCAAACAACCATTTGACAATCATATTGAAAGGTCATGAATCCAGAGCGCTGCTCACATGTTGTAGTTCATCAACCCAGATTCAATCGAACACATCCAGTGTGCTCGTCTCAAATTTCGAGAATCAAAGGGAATCCCAGACGTAATATACTCGCACCCCCTGCATGCAACCGGTCTGATACGCAGATCAAGGTGCAACCACCACGCATTTTTGGTCATTGGCACCCACGGTTAGGACGGACGCTCAGAGTGAGAAGACGACCGTAGAGCCACCTGTGTGTGGCTGCACATCCGGAGATCCACCCACATCCCCCTACCAGAAATGGAACATTATATCTGCATAATTTACAATAATTCGCACCTCCTCACCTCGTCGTTAATTCGTATGTGCGACGTTTCACCTCGCCTCGTTAATTCTACTTTGGGGAATTACTGGGCTCGTTCCTTTACCTAACACATCACGGTGGTGCTCTTTCAAAAAACATACTTTTCAGAGGCTGAACAGTTTTTCTGGTTGGTTGGTCGCAGTTGCAATGCTTCTATCCGGTCTGCGAGTGCTGGTGCAGTCACACTTGCGAGCGCTACCCCCTTTGGGGATGTTCCCTGTGGACACTACCATGACCATCCCATGGCCATCCCAAGTGTAACTGCACCATCACTCGCAAAGCCATGGCGCACTGAGCCACCCTAACCCTCAGCCAAATGCTGTGGGGCCACAGCAATATGTCTGAATGTGTGAGAAAAAACTTTTAGCAGGCTGATTGTTTTTTTCTCCACCAGACTTAAAAGGAGCATGGCCACTGCAACCAGACAACCAGAAAAAACTGTTCAGCTTCTGAAAAGTTTTTTCTGTTCATTCCCCACTCAAAAGGTAAGCAAATAGACTCACCTCGTAGAAAGTGAATTAGCTAAATCGCCTCGTTAATTTGCTAAGTCTACCTCGTACCTCGTCTGGGCTCGCTCTAAATTGTGCAGATTATAAGGGGGGTTCCAAAAAAAACTGGGGGTACTACAAAATGGATGGTTTATGATGGAAAATACCAAAACAAAATGGGGGAAACCTCCATATTAATTATTGCAATATCAATTTCTGCGGTGTTCCACTAGAGCAATCACCCCAGAATAATGAAGGCCGATATGATCCAGCACTAAAGCAGGGGTCCTTGAAACGTCAAGTATGCAATATCAGACTGGGGTTGGAATTATGCCTAGCAAAAAGGGGGATCCCCTTTGAATATCGCTTACATTTAAAAACTCAAGAATGGATGATGCTGTAGCAAACTTTGTCTTTGTCTGTTTGGTTGGGAACGTTGAGCCATGTCCCACCCGACAATCTTTGTTACTGGAATCAACTTCCTGTTTGTGGGCTCTGGAAATCAAACAACATCAAACCACCACCGCTAACCCGTTCAAAATCAGTTGCGTGGATGATATCAGTGTTATCCCCACGTTTGATGCTTGTACTTGTACCAAGTACTTGTCACTTGAACATTTGAAAAAATATGAAACATGTCCTCAAGCCAGTATATAACAGAAGATAAAATGCATGCCCATACTATCCATACATAGAACTCTCGAGCATATCCTATGGCCAGAGATCTCTCCACATTTTTTCGCACCTGGGCCCAAAGCGTTGAAGTCAAGGCCATCCAACTGCGGAGGAGCGTAGCCGAGGTCCTTGAGCTTTGGAGCGCCGGCAGCGCTGGGCTCCCAATGGTTACATGAAGTGGGATTACATATATGGATTACATATATGGATTACATATGGACTACATGTGGATTACATATATGGATGACTATTTATACAACCAGGATATTCGCCAGGATTCCTTTTTTGGAGCTGGGATGATCCGGATCCAGGAAGTCACCTTGAACGAGGCGTGCAGCCAAGGCTCCAAAGTGTTTGGGCCTTGTTTCGTCAGCCTCGCCAAGGCAAGCAAGGCTCATCGACGCGGAAACATACGTATCAAATACATAGAAATCATTACAAATCATATCAAATCATGATATTCATGTGGATATCTATACTATAATTATATATATATAATTATATATAGATATAGATACATATTATACAATATTCAAAATACCATACATTATGTACTTATGTATACATATGTATTAAATAAACGTAACCAAAAAACGATCCCACGAGATATCGGCATGTTCCCCTTCTCGTATTGCTTAGGGCTTGTTCGGTTGGTGGACTCCAAGTGCTATCTTAAAGTAGGAAAGCCCACGCTTCGGATGCCCTCAAAATCCTCAAAATTGGATGGTCAGTACTGTTGCATGTTCGCCCCGGGACCTTATTTCAAACATAACGTCGGTACTCTTGAGTGTGGATGCACAAAACTGAACCATTGAGGCCTGTTCTACAAGAAACAACAGGATTCTTTTGTTTTTAAATGTGGGGTTTGGGCTTGGAGCTGGGGTTCCGTTCAGGGTCTGTGTTTCAACACTTTTTTTCAATCTATGGATTTCAAGATTGGATTGGAATTCAAGATTTGTATTGAGTGGTTTTGCGGATAACAAAATTTCCTGCGGACGGTTTGCAGCGTGTATCCCAATACCCGAACTATCAGAACCCTTCCACACCCCTTTATGTTTCTTAGGTCTTCAATTTTGGCATGTAGTCAAAAAATTCAAATATCCTCCAGCCAACAAATCTTGCAACAAGAAATCACCCATTTATAACACATGATCCATGAATTTTCGATTAAACATAACTGGTGGTTTCCCATATAGTGTTTCGGTTGCTATGTTTGATTCAGAGCCCAAAAGTCACATCAGAAGTCACGGGTTTCCTCCCTGCTGCCAAAAAACCCAAGAGGTGCAAGGCCAGGGGGGACCATCTTGTTGTGATGCTGCTTGTTGGGTTGTTTTCCTGCCTGCGCCAGTCCAGAAGAACAAGTTTCAAAGTCACCCTCCATGCCTGAAAAAAAACTGTCTGTGAGTTTGAGATTGGGCCATGATTCGCTCCCGATTTAAGGCTTCTCATCTCTCGCTTCAAGTTTCAGCTTTTCCAAGATCAAATGTCGGCTCCAGACACACTCTAAAGGACTCTAAAAGGGCCTTTGGAATCTTTTGCATTGGAGTTTTCTTGGTCTTGTGTCCTGGCAACCTCAGCTCGGGCGCGGCTCATCTTTTTATTGCTGAATTCAGCCACCACTCAGAAGAATGCCCCGTCATTAGGTGGACGAATGCAGTCGGTATGTACAAACCCCTTTTTAAAGATCAGGGTCCCATTCCAGAATTCGTGATTCAACCCATTAAACATGAGATTTCAACCCATCCCGGGAATCTCTGGGAACCTCCGGATGGAAATCATTCCAATCTGGAAATTCACCTGCCTGGTGGCTTCCCCCGATATGCTGGGGATCATCCAATGTCTGTTTGATGACACACAAAACTCCGACAAAGCAACTGCTCCAGGAAATGCATCAGTAAATCGTCACTGACCTGGGACGCAGGGACATGTGAACTTGGGGAAAAAGATACCTAACTCACCCATATTGGCAATGGAAAGCCATAAAGGAAACGGACTTTAGCAAGAAAATGCAGGTAGCAATGGCTAAAACATTACCAGCCTTATCTGCAAAACATTTGGGTTTGGCCAACAAACATTTGTCAAAGAGGGTGCAGAACTCTGGAAAAAGAACACTCAACCCAAGAAATATGTTTGTTTCTATATAAGCAAGTAAAAACACCTTCCAGAGTCACATGTGAGCTATGATTCCATGTTACTCGAATAGGGATTGTAACGGTGTAACATTCACCACTCACATGGAGTACCAAACTGGGGATGCATCCCCGAAGCATCGGCGATTTCGATGCTTTTGGTTGGTTTTTAGCCAAAATCAGAATTGAATATGCCACTTGTAAGGTCAGCTGATGTCAGCTGTAACATGTTCTAGATATAAATGATTATAACATATATATTTTAAATGTCTATAGTACGTGGACTCCGTGGACCCTAAGAATCTCAAAACCAGAGACAGATTGGGATCGACCAGTGATCGGAAAACCCTGATGTATTTGGTCAATGTGGTTGTCAAGAATAATTAAGGCAAGACGGAGGAGGAAATATATATATATATACGTATATATATATATATATATTTCTATACGTATATACATATATATATATATGAAAACATCATAAAACTGCCATGAATACCGGTGACTGAGTAACAATGCACAAGTTATGTAGTCATCCTTTGTTTTAAATGGTTCACTTTCATGATATGCAGCTGAAAAAAAATACGAAAGGACCCGTTTTTGGTGCACTCCAAAAGGCAAAGCTCTGGCATGCCAACTTCAATGGAACTTCTTGGTTGTTCACCTGAACCATTGGCCACAAGGGATGGCCCCATGGAGCACGGTGAAGTGCCACCAGAAACCCAGGAAAAGCATGGTAGAGCCGTAAAGCCTCAACAAAATAATAAAAAAAAAGCAAGTCAGCAAATCATCTCAAAAACTAGATTTCTGACTCTAAAGCCATCTTAAAATCCTTGAAATTCCCAACGGCCGCTGGATTGTCCGTACTAGGGGCCGCTGGACTGTCTGGTTGATCAGAAGTCCATTCAGCAGAACTCTAAAGCACCAGGCAACCAATGCGAATAAATACATGTTCCTTGATCAGATCGAAACACTTGGAATGTTCGCACAGCAATCGTAAACCCATCGTAAACCATCCCACAATTTTGCCAGTGTACATTATATTTACAAATAAAAATAAATGTGTGGACCAAAGGGTGGTTTATGATTGCTTTACGAGCATTAGCCATTTTGAACTATTGAACAGCATTTGACGCAGGGACCCATCCATGGGGACATTGTTCATTCCGAGTCGCAAAGACCAACGGCAAGGTTTCGTAGCTACTCATCTGGCCTCATTGCCACCCAGGGATACACGCTTGGGTCACCCGCAAATGCGGAAGTTGGTTCCAACCTGTTCCCAAAATACGAACGTGAACAAGTGGTCAACCAACGTAAATCATCACCTATGTGCCATGGTCAAAAGATTGTACACGTATATGAGGGTCATCCATCTCATAATGAAAATCCTTGCCAACAGGTATTATGTAAATGATTCTAAATCCCCAAGATGGGCAATTCACTAGAGAAAAAAAGACCATGGCACAAATCACAGAGAGAGGATAGAATAACTCTAGCAGCTGAACTCCGGGGGCTAAATGGAACCCCATGGAACAACCACACTCAAACAAGGTCGCACGACTAAAAATGACATCCTACTTGAAAATAGGCCCGACAAAAGCGTTGTTGATTACATACGTTTGATATTTGTTTGATGATGGAAGTCCCAGCTTGATGAAAATCTAGGGATTCCAAATTCCAAAAGTTCAACATGTTTTTCTTGACATCCCTAATTTGTATTAATTTGTTGAGGTTTCATGATGTTTCCACTCCCAAACGCCTAACATTCTGAGCCAAGGAGCAACACTTTGCGCAGAAATGAGCCAAGTTGGCCTCCAGCCCCAGATGCAGACCTGCCAGGCTTCAAACGCCTAAACTTCAAAAAAAAAAACATACCCTCCGCGAATCACACGTGGCAATGGAAAAAAACTTGAGTTATATTAAATAATATTAATTATATATATATAATTATATATATATATATACAATTACATGTAGTTGATGTTGCCATTGCAAAATTCAACCTCCGTTTATCAGGGATCTTCCGTTGCCACGTTTAATTACCACAGAGTAGATTCGACCTCCAAAAAAACGAGGGACCAAAAGTCATGGAAGAATCAACGCATCTAATCAAACACAGGTGAAATCAACGATTTGAGTCAACCCATGCTTTGGAAATACTAATGTGGAACATGTGGATATAACTGATATAACCATGTGGGCGGTAGACACCAGCAAACTGCAGCTAAGGCCGTGATGGTGATAGTGGTGATGATGATGATGATGATGATCATCATCATCATCGTCATCATCGTCGTCATCGTCATCGTCATCATCATCATCACTATTATTGTGGTGAATGTGAGAATGCCGACAATGATGTTCATAACAATGCTCATGATGTGTGTGTGTGTGTGTCATTATAATTATATAATATTATATATTGCTATCATTGTATAGTCATGTAGTCAATATTATTTTACTGTGGCTGTGATGATGGTGAAGACACACGAAAATATAATAATGAGGATGATACATATTGTTGTTCATGATGTTGTTCATGATGTTGTTCATAATGTTGTTGTTGATGACGTGTGTCACTATGATCATGATGGTGGTAGTGCTGGTGTTGGTGAAGTTGAACAACTGTCGTGGCCGTAAAGATCAAAACAACGTCACAATGACTGTTGTGCTGTTCAGATATATAGTGATGATTGAGATTCTGGCAACGGTACAAGATGCTACAAGTATGGCAAGGTTAAGTTTCTGAGATGCTATACATGCTACAAGATGCTACATGATGCATTTGCAACCAAGGGAGGGAGCAGGCAAGCAGGCACCATTGGGATTTCAGCCCAACTCATGGTGCTACAATCTTCCCACGTTTGAAGTTGTTAAGCCAGTGGGGAACTGGCTTGTTAGAATAGTCAGTCTACTGTACTCCCAACACTCACCAAGGCTTCAAAGTCTCAAACAATCTTATGAATCTGGGTAGATTAATGTAGATGATATAACATTTCGTTGAAATGCGGCCATTTGGGGATGATTCCCAGAATCCAATTCCCATGATTCCAGGGTTCGGTCACAGTGACCTTCACGGACGTCCGCCACAGGAACTCCTGGAACTCCTGATGACGGGCGGACGGGCGGACGGGCTGAGGAAAGCCGCCTTCCAACATCTTCCAACCTCCATGACTTGCAAGGTCTATGTTTAGGTCTATGTTCCGGTCTAGGTTTAGTTGGATTGTAGTGTATGGTATTGTACCCACCTGACCTGCCTGGAGGGGGGCTGGTAGGGTTTGTCCCTATGCTTGAAACATTGGTGGCTACCACCATTGGAGATTTTCACCCCAGCACCATGGCAGCTTTAGGAATATATTGGGACCTGAAAACCTGACAGTAACCCAGGACTTTGTGCAGAGAGCATCAGAAATTCAAGAAATGGCTATGAATCAAACCCCTGGCACCCTTCTGTTGAAACCCAAACAGCTATTGTAGTTAGCATGGATGCCCATCCCACCAAAAAACATGTGGAAATTCAAGGAAATTCATAGGTTTTGACCCGCCCCCGAATCTCAACAGAAGGACTCTCTTGTCAGTGTTGAGACCGGGCACCTGGTCATCAAGATTCTGCAGCTTCCCATCATAGGTTTTCTCCAAAATTGGAAGCCCTTTCAGAAAATGTTTTCTCATCATCTACCATTCCTTTTCAACCAGCCCACCATAGCCCACCATCTATTCCTCTTTCAGGGGTTTCAGGGGCTCACCGCTTCGCTCCGCTCCGCGCCATGCGCCTGCCAAGCACTTCATCACTCGAAAGCAGAAGTTGCACTCCTCGTGGGAGATGAAGTTCACTACAGCCAGCTGCTTCCAGGGAAGATGAATGAAGTTATATGGCCGTTGAGTCGCCTGGGATGGCTTGAACGGAGAGATGCGGATATATCTGATGATTTTCTGATGTATATAATGATATGTAAAGATTTCTGTAAAACCCGAATGTCAAGCCTCACGAAATAACGTGGTAAACCCAATGACGAACCCGAATCAATTTTGTAGAAAATCTTTGGGGCACTGTAGCCCCAAAATTTGGTGAAATTCAAACAAATGAAATAGTATGAGTTGAGCAAATCAGTCTGCTTTTTGATTATGGAGATTCCCAGGGACGTTGTGCCTAGAAAAATGCTAAGATGCACACTGCTAGTCTGACTGGGTTTCATTCCAGAGCATTCGAGAGCTCATATGCCTATGTCCGCGCAAATTTACAGTACATAGTACATCCGATACATCTGTAAGTTCCCTCCTTTTTTTTGACCAAATGATTCAGCCGTAGAACTTAGAGACAGCGGCTTTCTGATCTCAGGGATTATACTCCCAGTCGTTACCGTCTGACAAATTCAGGCTTCAAAAATCAGCGGCCCATCAATCACAAAAACCACTCTCCACAATCATGGTTGCCATATGTTGCCATGTCGAAAACATTCCGAAACCACCTTGGTTTGGCTTTGATCTCTATAGTTCGTCTATGTTCGTCTAGTGTTATGTCTAGTTATGTCTAGTTGCTGTGGATTCAAATGGTTTCACCCCCCTAATGCAGGAAAGCTGGTTTTGAATCACCAGGCCCCAGGTCATAAATGTCATTCCTGAAGCAGGTGGTTCAATGAGAAAAAGTTATCTGAAGCATATGGAGCTCACAGGATATCCACAAGATCCTCGGCTATCAGCAAGGGCGGCATCATTCACCAGAAATTGGGGACATAACATAACCGATGATCTTCATTGATTCCATATGAATAAGGGGATGAACATCCATAGCAACCAGCTATTTTGGTGTTCTGAAGGGAGATGACCAACCTAATGTGGTCAGCCATACACCGTGCCAGTAACCAACAACCTTGGGGTCATGTTCAATCATCCCAAAATTGGGTAAAACGTATACCCACACTCCAATTGGGGATGGCATATTGATGGGTTTACATGGGTTTACCTCATTGCATAGAATAATCAACTACATGTCTGCATAAAAAACAAAAAACAGATTGGTGCACTCAGGTAGACAATTCAGATTCTGGGTGACGCAAAAGGACATCACTACGACCTCACTGTAAACGACGGTTAGGTTTGGGAACCCCCAAATCTAGATAAATTTCAGAGTAATTTGTTTATCCCCTTCTTTCAGGGTAGTGACCTATCATCATTCGGCTAAACTGGAGATAGATTGGAGAATGTTGCTGGTACTGTGCCAGTACAGACTATTGTTGATGACATAGACCATGGTTCCAGCTAAGGCCCACGTGTTTACAATAATTCGTTTGTGATTATGTGTTCATATGGTTTGCTGATTTCCGATCAGTGTATACGTTGTAAAATGTGTATATATAAATACATTTTTAAAAAAATAATAATAAAATAAATACATGCATACATACATACAATACTTACTTACTTATTTACTTACTTACTTACTTACATTACGTCACATTACATTCCAATACATTGCATTACATACAGTATTACATACATTACATTACATTACATTACATTACATTACATTACATTACATACAAAACAAAACAATACAATAAAATACATTGCATTACATTAAATTACATTACGTTACATTACATTACGTTACATTACGTTACGTTACGTTACATTACATTACATTACATACAAACATACATACATTACATTACATACATACATACATACATACAATACTTACTTACTTATTTACTTACATACATACTACATACAATACTTACGTCACATTACATTCCAATACATTGCATTACATACAGTATTACATACATTACATTACATTACATTACATTACATACAAAACAAAACAATACAATAAAATACATTGCATTACATTAAATTACATTACGTTACGTTACATTGCATAAAATTACATTACAATAAAATACATTGCATTACATTACATTACATTACATACAAACATACATACATTACATACATCATACATACATACCATCCATTCCATTCCATTACATTACATTACGTTACATTACACTACATACATACATACATACATTACATACATACATACATTCCATTCCATTCCATTCCATTACATTACATTACATTACAGTACATTACATTACATTACATACATACATACATACATTACATACACTACAAGCATACATAGATATATATACATACATACATGCATACATACATACATTACATTACATTACATTACATTACATTACATTAATTCATACATACATACATACATACATGCAAACAAAGCATACCATAGCATATCAAAACAAACCAACACATAACATACCATACATACATTACATTACATTACATTACATTACATTACATTACATTACATTACATTACATTACATTACATTACATACATACTTACATACTTACATACTTACATACTTACATACTTACATACTTACATACTTACATACTTACATACTTACATACTTACATACTTACATACTTACATTACATTACATTACATTACATTTCATTACATACATACATACTTACATTACATCACATTACATTACAATACAAAACAAAAATACATTACATTACATATTACATACATTTCATTACATTAAATTAAATTACAAAACATACATACATACATACATACATACATACCATTACATTACATTACATTACATTACATCACATTACATTATTACATTAAATTATTACATTACATTATTACATTCTATTTTTACATTACAAAACATTACATTACATTAATACATACATACATACATGCATTACATACATACATACATACCATACCATACCATACCATACCATTACATTACATTACATTACATTACATTACATTACATTACATACATTACATACATTACATACATTACATACATACATACATACATACATACATACATGCATGCATTACATACTTACATACTTACATTGCATTATATTACATTGCATTACATTTCTTTACATTACATTACACTACATTACATAGCTAAAAATCAAATAACACAACAAAACATAGATACATACATACTTACCTACCTGCGTACGTACATACATACATTACATTACATTACATTACATTACCTTAAATTACATCACATTACATTACATTATATACATACATACGGTACATACATACATACATACATACATTACCTTACCTTACCTTACCTTACCTTACATTACATTACATTACATACATACATGCATCCACACATACATTCGACATTAAAATTCCGAATGGCAAGGTGTTTAATGTAGTTTACATACTTCCTTTGTGCTGGCAACCTGCCTTGGTTCGGTTTTCATCAAACTTCCTCCCCGTAGCCCAAGGATGTCCAAGGTGCGATGCAAGAAAAGAACAAAGTCCTGGCTTCACCGGTCCCAACCCCAAAAAGGGCAGCTTTAGACAAGCCACAACATACCAGAAATGCTTGGTGGCATTAACACCATCCAAAAAAAGGCGTCGATTAGGGACCTGAAAAACAACAACAGAAACGAACCTTTTCAAGACACAAACAGAACAATCATGTTCCAAGCCATTCATTTGTTTCATTTTATGTTGGGAGCCAACCGACCATGGTGTCACAGCTTGCTGGTAAGCCACAAAATTAAAACCACCGGCGGTTTGCTGTGGCATGTCCACCTCGCGACGAAGCACTTCCAGCCTGATTTCTTCTTCCCGGGGGTTTGCTCTGGCATGTCCACCTCCAAACCCCGACAAAGCACTTTCAGCCTGATTTCTTCTTCCTGGGGGTTTGCACTTCCAGCCTTATTTCTTCTTCCCGGGGGTTTGTTCTGGCATGTCCACCTCCAAAACCCGACGAAGCACTTCCAGCGTGATTTCTTCTTCCCGGGGGGTTGCTCTGGCATGTCCACCTCCAAGCCCCGACGAAGCACTTCCAGCCTCATTTCTTCTTCCAGGGGGTTTGCTCTGGCATGTCCACCTCCAAACCCCGACGAAGCACTTTTAGCCTGATTTCTTCTTCCCGGGGGTTTGCTCTGGCATGTCCACCTCCAAACCCCGACGAAGCACTTCCAGCCTGACTTCTTCTTCCCGGGGGTTTTGCTGCGCCCGAGAAGTAAATGCTGTTTGAAAGAAAGAAGGCCCCAAAGCATTTAATTTATTTTTTTAATGTGGAACTTGTGCGCCGGTCCGCGGGCTAATCCGTAAACCGCTAATCCGTAAACCGGGTAATCATTAAGGACTAACTTGGATCAGGCTAGATTGCCTGCATTGATTGCCCTCACAAGATCGGCAAAAACGTGCATGGCCTGCCGTATTCAGTAATCATTGCCATATCACTATATAAGGACATATCAGGCATCCATCAAATTGGAGTTCAAGAGTATTGAGTGAACAAAACAACATGTGTGTGGCAGTGGTGGTGACCAACAAACCCTTCGGTCCTACGCCCCAGCAAAAATGGAGGTAAGTGCCTGTTCGCTCAGGTTGTGAGGTGTCCCCGCCATGGTCCAACCTCCCCACAGCTTCCTCTGGGGTCAACTTGCACGACAGCTTGAAGAGGATGGAAGTGGCGTTGCTGGACAACTGACTTTCGTTCACGCGCTGGCGCTGCTCAGAAAGGGTAGCGACCACCGCATCAAGCATCGCGACCATGATAGGCAAGGAGGGGACCCTACGAATGATCACAACGAGTTCAAGCAAAGGAAGGCTGAGGTGGCAGAATTCGGAAGGCGGCGAGTTTCAGCCCAAAAAAATATCTAATGAATCTCATGATTCTCAGACGATTCTCATGAATTCACTAAATCGGTCTAGTGTTCTCCTGGATCCAGCATGATCCAGCTGATTGTTGCCATGACATAGGTCATATACCTTGGATCCAGGAGCCAGCCATGAATGACCTGGGTGATACCACTGAAAAGCGGAGAATCCTTTGGGACGATCACAGCGTGTTTGATAATATCATCAACAATAATGATCAAGAATGAACAGTATGAATAAATGAATATAAATGAATATATATATGTATATATATACGTATGTATATGAAGCATTTGATCATATTTGATACCATGGGGCTAGTGTCACCACTTCCCTTGCTAGTTGCCTCCAGCTCAACAGCCCAATCCAGGTGCCGTCAGGAGTTGACCCTGCACAGGGCCACAGGTCATTCCGAATTATTCGCTCCCAATTTTGATATCCCACTTGGTAGATTTAGTAAGTGGGTAATACGTGGTCTAAATTGCTACCCATTTACTAAGTTTACCATACTGCTACCCATGAAAATTTGATAGTCACACATTGAAAAATAGTCACATGGGTGATCCACTTCCCGGGATGCCCAAGTTGGTCACCACAGCAGCGATCTTTCACAGCTGCACAACTCCGCGGCACGGGTTTGAACGCAGCTCACCTGGCATTCCAGTTCTGGAAGAGGTTACATCCCTTTTTCTGAGGGAAAAATAGTTACTAAAGCATCCCAAACCATCATCTACTGATGCAACTAGGATCAACATAGATCAACTAGGCAAGTTGGGTGCTTGAAACAAAAAAACACCAACACTTGCACCTTTCCCACTTGAAGAACCATTTTCCCAGGTCATTGCGACCTAGAACGTTCAGAACATGCTGAAGCCCAAGGATTCCCTGAGCCAACTTGCGCAAATACACATTGGAAGGGACAAAAATTATATGAAACTCTTGATGAAAACTCCTGCAAGCACCTTCGCAGTGCCTCTGGCTCTCGACTGAGTGGTTGAGCTTGAGAGTGAAGATGGTCGAAGTTCATGTGTTGCTCATAAGTAAATGGAATCAACACCCACCCCTCTCACGGGTGATTGAGATTCAGTAGTTCAGATGAAGTAGCATTAGCATGTCTTGTAACTTCTGCAGCGGGCCCAAGCAATTATGTTGGCTAATCATTCTATGTTTAGTGGCTTAGTGCCTTAGTGCAGAATATTATATATATAGTATATATTCATTCCCTTCCATTCCCTTCCATTCCCTTTCATTCCATTCCATTCCATTACACGTTCAGCAACATTCATCATGCAGTCCCCAGACCCGGTGTTCACATTGTTGGCATGCACTGTGAAGCGTCGTTGTTGCTGTATGATGGATACAGAAAACCATCCTACCAAATTTGCCTGGCAAATTGTGCCTGTTCTGTCTTTTTTGGGGATCACTATGTACATATATATATATACATACATACATACTTATTAGATAATATATCATGAAATTTGCAAGTTTTCCTGGAAATGTTTGCAAGAACAGTAAACCCAAAAAATCTCATGGTTTATCACATTTTTCCCTGGATTCGCTAAATGTGGACATAAAAGGGGAATCACCCTGGACTTCAATATCCCCTGTCTCACCTTCACGACTTCACGCAGCACTCCTCGTCGGTGCTGCCCTGATGGTGTTCCGCATTGGGCCGGTGTTCTAAGCCTCGGCATCCGAACCAACTGGGGATGGTACAGCGGTTTCATGTACGTCCTGAAGTCTAATTCAGCTACATTCTGATCAAGCACAAAAAACACCAATAACCAGGAATCACCACAATATCCAATCAATATCCATCTAATATCACAAATATCAAATAGCCAATAAATATATCACAAACATTCACTATCCATCAATATCTCCCAACGGGGGGGGTGGCCTGCTTGCTTGTCGCAGCAGTAGTCAGAGCACAGGAGCGGATCGTAGCATTCAACCTCGGAAAAATGTCGTTCATTGGATAGGCTTGAGGGAAGATCGACACCTTTTTTTCCCAGAAGACCATTTTTCTCAGCATATTTAAGGGGGTTCCTGCAAATGGTCCCTTCAAAACCGGGGGACCCAGATTCTCGATGGGGCAATACAAAAAGGCGTATGGGTCCGCTGAAAATAGGGTACAGTAAACAAAAATACTATCTTTTCCCTATTAAGATACCATGTATACCATTTAGGGAGTATACCGCAATTTGAGACACAACCGTACCTAAACTCTTCAATGGCGTGTTCTGGCGATGAGACGCGTCTGGTTGCACATGTTACATCATACCTCGGTGATCTTTCTGGTTCTGGAAACTGATGCTTAAATTGTTGCAACTCCCAAACTGAAAATAAACAACTGAGGATATGATGGGACTATGGGATATATAATTCCCCTTGCTACCCACTACTAGCCTTGCAGTGAGATCGATTGAAATCCATGAGCCTTGACAAAAGCGCGCCTTGACAAATCAAGGGCTGGATAGCCACAAATAGAACGATCATAGGATATCAATAAATACAGCCAAGTAGAGTTCCAACTTAATAGGGATTTATCATAAGAAACCTGATGGTAATAGTAAGAGCAGCAGCAAATCACACTCACGATAATAGTAGTACTACTTTAAAAATAGCAATGAAAATTCATATTTTGGGTTCATGAAAACCACCAACCAACAATAACAAGTGGTCACCTGATGCCCACATGGCTATTGGTAAATGACCAAAAGGTACACAGTTTCGAAAAAGTGTTCAAATATGTTAAAATCCCATGAAATCCCCATTAAATACCCATGAAATCCCATTTGAAAACCATCAGATGGTACACCTTGGCGCTTTTCTCCCTGGATCAAGTGTTCACCACGTGACATCGGTGCTGCCCTTGGCGCTGGGATCCTTCTTCCTGCGCTCTGTTTCAGAACCGGGCATTTCTAAGGACTGGTCCTGAGTTTGCCCTCTCTCTCTATGCATATGTACAGCACCCCCTAAATAGATAGAAAAATTGGAAACCTGGGGAAATTTGGAGGAAACATATCGATACTATCGATACATATACATATGCATAGATATAGTATGATATAGTTTCCAACTATACATATTTGGGAAACATAATCTATACATATCGATAGCATCAACTCATAGGCGTCTTGGAGTTGCCGCCTGGTCCAGCGGGTGGGGTGGCTGGTGGTGTACTGGCTGCAAAAGATGGGCATGCAGCACTCCTGAGATCAATGGGTCCAGCTGCGCAGCGATACCGGGGATACCAAGGATAGATCAATGATCCCATGACATTCATCCGTGGAATACTTGGGAATACTTGGGAATTATAGACTCTGTAGAATGCATTGAATATTTATCAACATTTATCATTTTTTATCGATGACCGTATGGTTCGAGAACGGGGCTTCCATAGTCCACTCAATGATCCTGTCCGTGGTGGTACCTCCGAATCAACTCCTACAGCAATCCGGGGCTGAGATCTCAAAGGTGGCTAGTTTTGAGCGAAATCCAGCTACATCAAGAGTCTGGCAAAAAAAAGAAAACCCGTATTTCCTACATTAAATATACTGGTTGGTGGTTTGGTGGTTTCAACCCCTCTGAAAAATATGAAAGTCCATGGGAAGGATTATCCCATATATATTATGGAACATAAAAGTCATGTTTGAAACCACCAACCAGTATAGTATTTCCCATATTTCTATATGATTCCCATGGTATTTCCTGAGTCATTCGGAGAATCAGCCAGGTCATGGTGCCTCGTTGGTGCTTCCCTGCCACTTGTAGATGTTGGTGTCCACACGCTTGTACCTATGCCGCAAAAGGGCTGCAGTCGGGAACTCCAGAACTCATCCAGATCTGTATCAGTCAATGAGTCATCTCAAGTATACTTATATTATATTATATTATATTATATGATCTTATATTATATTATATTATATTATATTATAATAAATTAAATTATATTTTATATTATATTATATTATATTATTGCGAATTGGGCATAGGTCATTGATCAAACTTCCTGTCACCATATGGTGGCTCAAGCTGGGGATCGCCGAATGGCACTTGCGCCTCAGGTAGAAAATAGGAGTGATCTGCTGAGCCCGCTGCCACTGCATCACGCAGTGGTAAAGGAGTTGTGGCAACGATCCAGGGAATTTCTTGCCTCGGTGCTGTCACATGGCGGAAGAGGTTCCCTTGCCGAGGGATGAGAGTTCAGAAGAACCCAATGGAGATGGACCTGGTGCTGCAGGTGGCGACCCACCGACACCCGGGTCAGCGGGACGAACGGCTGGACGACGATCAGATTCGTCGCTTGGTCATGATCCATGGGAACGACAAGACCCATGGTCCGCTGGCCGTGATCGAGGTCGCGATGTGCGAGCGCCTGGACATCCTGGACTAGAGTCCGAGTTCATGCAATTTCTCCAGTGGCGTTCTCAGTCAGGAGCTGGACCACATGGTCTTTTTTGCTGGACATCAAGGAGGTCCCAACGGAGCTCTACTACAACAAGCTGCCAGAGATGAGCAGGAACGAACCACTGCAGGTCCTCCTCCTGAGTGGGATGGAGTTGCGACGGAGTTCAAGGACTACAAGCTGAAAGCCCGCATCTGGCTTCGAACAACCAGGACTCCTGCAGGGCTCGTGGTCCATTGTTGTTGAAGAATTTGTCAAAAGGGCCTTGGGAGGATCTGAAGTTTCTTGCCAATGATGAAGATTGGTTGGAACGCCCCAACAATGGAAACAAACTGTTGGAACTCATGGATACCAAAGAATACTATGGGGAAGAGAAAAGGGAATCCATGCTACCAGCCTGTGCCCGCTTGACCTTTCACTTGAAGCGGCAGCGTGGTGAAGCGCGCGTCAGTTCATGACCCGATGGGACACGGCAGAGCGCAAGGTGAGGGAGCATGATGTCAAGTGCCCTGCGGACTTCCTGGGCTTCCTCATGGTGAATGCGCTGCAGTTGGACTCCGAGAAGACGAAGTTGCTCCTCAATTTCACGAAGGGCTCCCTGAAGGTCTCCGACGTCAAGGAGTGGCTTCGGATCCATGAGACCGACTTGGATCTCTCGAATCTTGGCAATGACAAGAAGAAGGCCAACACCTATCTCCTGGACAAGGAGGCCACCAAGGAGATTCAGTATGTGGACATTCCTCAAACAGAGAATGAGTCTGAGGATGAGCCAGCAGAGCTGCTTCTAGCTACTCTTGCCGATTTGGAGGACCCCGAGAACGCCCATGAGAATGACCCGGTTATCCTCACGCAGTCAGAGACCAAGGGGATCCTCATGACCATGGTCAAAGATCACCGCTCCAAGGGCAGATCGTACTCAAGAAGAACCGTGACTTGGCGCGAGGCTTTGGAGCTGGCAGGGATGGCATTTTGCGTCCTGGAACCTATGAGGTCTCCATCTCTGAGCTGAAGAAGCGAACTCGTTGCAATGCATGTGGCCTCACGGGCCATTGGGCTCGTGAATGCCCCACCAAGTCGAAGAAGCCCGGCGATCACTCCAAGAGCGATGCTTTGAAGCCCAAGACCAAGGAGATGAACTTCTTGGAAGAACACCTGCCTTTTGCTGAGAGTGATTTTTCTACTTAGAATCAGCTGGCACTCAGGAACGACAGTCTTCCACTTTTGCTGATAAAGGTGCCCAGTTTCATCACGAGCCTCAGGACTCGATGCATCGAATTGGCGAATCCGAGTGGTATTACATGGGGCGGCCGCCACATGCAAACATGCAATGAAGCAGGATGTGCAACTTTGGATACTGGTTGTCAAAGAATGGCCATTGGATTGAATACTCTCAATTTATTGCAACGATCTCAACCTTCTGAACTGCCAATTACATTTTGTAAATTGCATCAGTTTCGAAGTGTTCATCAAGTTTCATGCACCACACGGTTGGCATGTATTCCAAGCAGCTTGGGACCACGTGGATGTATTTTGAGACCAGCACTTTTTGAAGAACATTCCGGTGCAGATGCACCTCTACTTCTCTCTCTTCCGTTTTTATTACATTGCAGAGCAACATTGTGTTTGGATGAGCAGCGTGGTTTACGATTGGTCTCACAACATTTGGGTTTCAGTGTATACCATGTGATTTGGGCCCTACGGGAGCTTTGAGGATTCCGATTCAACAATTTACAAGCGACATAATTTCATTTTTCTCACAACGTATTCCAGAGACTTCGGATGAGTATGAACTCTTGCAAACCCATCACGCTGGTGGACACCTTGATGAACATGAACATTCCAGCAGTGTCTCCAGCTCTCAATTCGAGAAGACTCCGGCCCGTTGGCTCTCCTACAACCACCACTTGGTCAAGGCTTCCCCGGAGAAACTACGTCCAGCATCTGAGGCTGAGGAGGAGTTTTACTCTATCTCTGGGTGGCTTGAAGGTATCTGGAATGCCAAGAAACAGTTCGAGACCAACAAGATCAAGGGCATGATTGACCTTTCTCAGGAAAATGATGAACAACCTCCAACAGAACGACAAGACTTCTGGCGTCGAGAAGGCAAATCCGAGTTCATGAACTTCCGCGACGGGAACTACTTCGTCCTGATCATGATCTTTCCAAGCTGCCTGTCCACTTGGACCAAATGCTGCCATGGAGAAAGCCGATCATGACCATTACCGATGGCGACCAGGAGATACTTGAAGATGAGTGGACCCATGGCCAGGACTTTCCTAGTCATGGGCACGAATGGACTGGAGAGACCTGGTTCGAGGAGAAGCTGTCCACTGAACCACGAGATCATCTCAAGCGACCAGCAGACCCGCTGGTGCCCAAGGCTAGGATCACTCAAAAGGCCAGGATTGATCCTGAGCAGATGATCCCACTGTCACAGGCCCCCATGGCCAAGACAGAACAGCCAGCAGTGGATGCTCCAGAGATTGAAGCCCCTCCAGGACTTCCTGCTCTCGAACCAGACCAACCAGTTCTTCCTGAACCAGGAGTTCCAATGGCCTCATCCACGACCTCTATGGATGCATCTGGGGATGAACCAATTTCTGACGACCGTAAGCGGGCTTTTGATGAAGTACTTCAACCAGAAGGTGCTTGGGAGGAGCTGCCGGCTTCCAAGCGCACAAGACTCGAACTGTTGGAGATTTACTTCACCACTATCTCCAACAAGTCGGCCACGAGACAAAGAAAAGGAAAGGAAGCAACAACCAAGGACTTCCAAGGCCGAGACAAAGAACGACTCATGCGAGCCATCCAGAAGGAGTTCAATAACAGTAACAACCTGGCAACAGGCGCCTATATGAGCTTCTTTCTCCACAGGAGTCAGCCCGAGTTCGAGTCCAGAACCCTGAGAAGATCATGAAGTCCCGCTACGTCCTCACCAAGAAGCCCATTGAGGACTTTGCCCTAGAGGACGCCATATCGGCTGATGAGGTGCTTGATTATTATCTGAACAGGATCAACCAGCAAAGGCGAAGTGTCGCCATGTTATGCAAGGCTACTCAGAGTCAGCACTCCTTGACTTGGAGACCAGCACCCCACAGGTGCATCGAGACTCTGTCATCTTTGCAGCTCAAATCATGGCTAGCATGGGATGGATCCCTGGTTTGCAGATTTCACACAGGCATTTCATTCTGGTGACCCGATCGACCGGGAGTTATACGCCGAGCAACCTGCAGAAGGACTTCCTAATGCAGAACGAGGCCAGCTCCTTCGACTGAGGAAGACATGTTACGGACTCACTGATGGTCCCTATGCCTGGTTCAAGCATATTGTGAATTTCATTTGCAACGAACTTGGATATCGACAATCAGTGGTTGATCCATGCCTTTCCTTTTTGGATTCACCTGCTGACTCAAATGGACATTCGCATGTCGAGGAAATGACTGTTGAATCAGGGCGGTTTTACCTGCAAGATCACAGCGAGTCTCTTTCGATAACCAGGATGGCATTCCAACCAAAGCACGAAGTTGCTCAATTTCTTCAGGGCTACATGCAGAAAACCTTTTCCGTTTTCGATCCCGTGAAATCTGGATCGGGGCAACTCGGGCTTCAGTATAAAACTGTTGATCCAAAGTAATAGAACCATCTGAGAGAAGGGTAACTTGTTCGCCGACAAAACGTCCTTCACGCCATGTGAACTTGCCCAGCTTATAATGTTGCTTGACCTTTTCCATCAATGACGAGGACTACCACCATGAAATAAATCATCAGTTGCTTCAAGTTGCTTTCTTTGGACTTCAAGGAGCTCGGCATTCGACTGATGCCCATCCCTCTTGATCGTCTTCATGCTGGCGTGGTAACAGATGCGTCGTGGGGAAATTCCAAGGAGTTTGGCTCTTACCTTGAAACCAATGCCACCAATGACTGGTGGGAGGAGACAGATCAGTATTGGATCCGTCATCATGTTGATGCCCGCACGACTGGGCTGACGAACCAGATCTTCACCACCTTCTACCAGAACGCCATACGGAGATCAGAAGTTCTCAACGAAGCACTTCGGTCCAGGATATGTGGACCACCAGCGACAGCATCCGATCTATGTCAGCAACCCCTTGGACCGGAAGAACGATTTTCTATAAGCAGGCCGAGGGCAAGCTTCTTGATGCCAAGGACATTCATGCCGGCTACGACCAGCTGAACAAGCTCTTCAGCCAAGGTGGAGAGATTGTCATCTTCTATGACAAGGACTTACCGAAGTCCCAGACCCTCCAGAATGTCTCTTTAGCGTCTTGGAAGAGTTACCGGTTGAAGCGGCGAACAGTCAACACATTGAGCTCTGAGACTCAGGCCTTGGTCCGTGGTCTTAGCTCAGTTCATTGGTATCGAGTTCTCATCCTAGAAGCCCGTGGTCTCCATTTGTCAGCAGAATGGCATCGTGAGGTCGCTCAACTTCCATTCATTTACGTCACCGACTCGAAGTCGCTGTATGACACCATTTGCAAGTGCACCAATCCTGCATCACAATGTGAAGATAAACAGACCTCAATTGACATCTCCTTGATTAAGCAAGAGATTGCCGAGCTCAACGACACGATTAGATGGATTGATGGTCGTACCATGTTGGCCGACAGCCTCACCAAGGAGAGCAAGGCAGATCTTCTACGACACGTCATGAAGACTGGCCAATGGAGCATTCTGGAAGAGGGTTCAGCTCTTCAGAGGAAACTCCTCAAGAGAACATCTCGTCATGAGGTGCTATTTATTTTCTAAGTTTGATCAACATAACATAAAGTATGACCGGTGCGAATTGGGCATAGGTCATTGATCAAACTTCCTGTCACCATATGGTGGCTCAAGCTGGGGATCGCCGAATGGCACTTGCGCCACAGGTAGAAAATAGGAGTGATCTGCTGAGCCCGCTGCCACTGCATCACGCACTTATATACATGAATGTAAGGCATACTTAGTCCAGGTTGCATCAATCATAGGTGGCCTAGTGGTTCCGATTCCAACTAGTTTGGCAAGAAACAAATACGCACAAAACATTGAATATCAATGAATATCATATATAGTAAATCTGATCAACTTGTGTAAACGTGCGGTAGCCGCTTCAGGACATGCTCTGAAGGCGAATCTTGATCAATATGTGAAACTTTAACACTTCAAAAGTGTCCATTCCTACTGGTTTGAGCGGCAATCTACATACAGGAAAACCCTCCCTTTTTGACGAAAACTTATGGTGTCCTGCGTTTTTTCCCTTAAAATCTATTGATCCTCACACAAGCAATGGGTCTACATACCTATGGACCTCCACCAAGCTCACTAATCTTGAAAGGATGGCATGAACCTCCCAAATGACTATCTGTTCTTAGTCTCAAACTGAATTTTGTTGTAATATGATATAGATGCATATAAGTAAGTACATTAATTACATATATATATATACCTATACTGTAGTCAATATATTGTAGATATATATATATATATATTGTATATAGCAATCTCCAAATTCACACAAACAATTAGATGCTATATCATGGTATTTCTATAGATGATCTTTATTGAACAACTTTCTGCGTCCCTATACTTCCCTATCTATTTGGGCATATCCTTCCGGAGCACGGGGTGCAAACTCAAGGCCCATTTGATGTTTGTCCCAGCTGCCATTGGGTGCCAACTCCTGTGTTGTTCACATCGGTGTCGCACACAAAGGCATCACCTCAATACTCGTCAAATTCGTCAAACGAGGAGGCCAAGTAAAAAGGGACCAACCAGTCGGAATTGACCAACCAGGATTTCAGATGTCTGACCGGGCAACACAAGAAACTTTCGAACGTTTGTGCGTTACAAAATCTGGGGCACAAAATGCGGTAAGTAAGAATGATTGCAAGAAAAGGCATTCGGTGGCATATGTTGCACGTGTGGACGTGGTTCGGGCATCGGTCACTACTGGTCATAGTAGCAGATCATCATATTTAGTCAGTCGATGGCCAGCTAGATATTTCAAGATGTCAAAGCAAATGTAAACCACTCATGGAGGATTCATTCATGGAGGATTCATGCTGTATTCAGAAAAAAAAAAGTAACACGCAGTACCAACATCTGGTTCTATAGGGAAACCTTCTGAGAGTGACTATGCTTCTATAGATTCTTTGCACAGCAAATCAACAGTTGCAACTCAGCCTGCGCAATGTTGCCTACGAGTACGCCTAAAAATCAACAAGTGACAAGTGCCTACACTGCAAGACACACATGGTCAGCCTACCCAACATCTCATACTGACTAATACTTTTATCTAACTGTCATCTAAAGAAAGATGCTCGTGTGAACCTCACACTGAACACAGTTTCTACATTACAATGAGCTGCTATCAGCGGTTGTTCATCATCCTTCGCTACCAGTCAAGTCCCCAAGAATGGCTACGGTTTCTGTTCACTGGCACCATCTGAGTCGCTTGTAGCCAGATTACATGTTCAAACCTATGTTTCGTCGATATATGGAGGTTTCCTGAAATGGAGGTAATTACCCCAATAGCTGGATGGTTTACAGTGGAAAATCCGAAAATAAAATTGATGATTTGGGGGTACCCCTATTTTAGGAAACCCCTGGAAACCCGTAAATATACCTCAGATGATACCTCCTTTCAATTTCGTTGGGCCAAGCTCCTGCCCAACTAGTTAGATCCCAACTTTTTGGCAACATTCCACTGTTGCTGCCTCCATCGTATTCCTTCGTTTCTGCATGATGTGGCGCTCAAGCATGGCCAAGCGGCAATAGATCTTCTCGCAGCATTGTTCCTTGGTGCTACCCTGAATCTTGTCCAAGCCTGTCAGCAGCGAATGGATCTCTTTTTTCTTTACGACTTAGGGAATTTCTCGGAGGAAACCTTTGGATTGGAGGCAGGATTCTACCATCCAAAAAATTACGGCGTTTTCACATCGAAATTGTCACTCGAACATCCTTGAAACCATTCTCCAAATGGAGGGTGTCTCTGCCCAGCAACACTTGAGAACTCTGCTTCATCCTCTAAACAGTTGTTTTTCACTGAAATGGGAGGACCTGAACCACCCTTCAATGTCCTCTATTCACCATTGAAATCCTGTGGTTGATGGCGGTGCATAATCTAAACAAAAATCCAAATGGTGTTTGCTTCATCGGGCGTTTTCTTTGAATGTTTTTGAACGATATCATCATGTTTGCGGCGGAAACCTGGAGGAAACTTCGGCGTGTCCTAAGTTTCATCTAGTGGAAAACACCAAAATGTCACCGCGTTTCCCTACGAAAGTCACCTAAATGAACTCAACCAGCTTCATGAATTCGTGAAAAAAACTAGTGGAAAAAAAACATCTGGGACACCATCTGCCACCATGGGGTCAAGCCTTCCTTCGCCTTCCACTGGGTGGCAGGATCGCAGGTTTCGGCCAAGCAAAACCTGGCGGATGGGAAATGGATGAAAATGGGGATTGAAAATTATAGAAATTGCAGATACTGAAATTTGGATGATTAAAATGTCGGATGGAGTTTTGAATAAACATGAGATTGAAATGGAGGACGCCAAAATCTGGTAAAATCAAATTGAGGTTAACATGATACTATGTAAAGAAGAACCAAAAACCTACTGCAGTACATTTAAATGTCATACAGCGACAGTGGTAATTTGTTACGTTCCATCTTTTAGGTTTTTTTGTGTATAACAATGTGATTAATTGATGTGCTAAACCGGTAAAACCAATGAGAAATAGGTGCTGCAAATCATCCCCAGTTTTAGTCGATTTTGCATCAGAAGTCCAAACCTGGTTGAACAGGATTCAACAAAAAGAGGAATGTGTTGAAGAGACAGCAAGATTGGTGGTTGAGCCATCCCAAATATTGTTTGTCAGTCACGGGGAACATTATCTTATCTTCGAAAAACCAACCAGTTATATAACAAGCCAAAAGAATACCTGGCAAGAGACCCCAAACAGTGTGGGGGGTAGGAAGTCAATGTACCAAATACAAGCATTGGTAGCTATGGAACAGTAACAAATGACCAGAACTTCAGACCAGTATCTCATACCAAGACATGGACTAGCCCCGTGACCCATGTCTTGTGCGAGCCTGCGCAGTCCAAATGCACATGGACATCGCACAAGAGCAATTTCATGCGAGAATTTTGAGGAAAAATACCGGATGCCAAACTGGTACAACCCCGACCCCATGACCCAGATTTTGCGCGAGCTTTCTCAGTCGAAATGTACATGGACATGTGACAAGAGAGCTGGTTTATGGTTTATGCGATAATTTATAATGAGAATTTACAGGAAAAATGCCACGCCCCATGCACATGGACATCTCGCAAAAGCGATTTTATGCGAGAATTCTCACGATAAAATGCCGCGCCCCGGGACAAGAAAACGTCGCGGAGAAGACTTTGTGCGAGCCTGCGCAGTCGAAACGTACATGGACACCTCACAAGAGCAATTTTACGCGAGAATTTACAGCAAAAATGCCGGAGGCCAGAGAGCGTACCCTGATCTAACTCCGGCCTTAACTGCTAACGTAAGAACCCCTCAGTGTGGACACACTGTTTGGGGAACAATGATCAACGATGGTTGGTGCATCCCAGTTCGGAAGTGGGCCCAATAATGTTTGAAATACCCAGTCATGCGTATATATATATATACTATCTATATATATATAGAATGTATAGAAATATTGTAATGTAATATAATGTATTATATATCCTATGTAATATATACTATGTATATATATATTGTATATAAATATATACCCATATATATACTCTACACATATATAATTCCTATATATATATATCCTCCTATATATATATACACACTCCATATATATATATTATACATATGTGATCCCTGTTGGAATTCGAACCAAACCTGGGGGTTCCATTCTATAGGGACTAAAACGCAAACCCAGGACTAAGGGGGGGGATTTTCCCTATAGAATAGAAACCCAAGAAACCCAACAGCCCCCTGCCACTCCTATAAAATGAAAACCCAGCATCATACTGGCCACTGCTTCTAACAGATAATCCACTATAAAATGAAAACCTGAGTCCAAGTGATTAGGAAAAAGACCCCCTATAGAATAGAAAACTGGGTTTGCAATGCCTTAAGTTTGGTTTCACTTTTTGGACCTGGGCTGGCACCATTCCACAAAAGAATCTACTTGGTGACGATTTTATAGAGGGGGGTTGGATTTCCATTTTATAATCACTTGGACTCAGGTTTTCATTCTATAGTGGATTATTTGTTAGAAGCGGTGGGTATGAGGCTGGGTTTTCATTTTATAGGAGTGGAAGGGGAGGTGTCAGTGGGCAATAATATTGTAAATACTGTGTGATACTGTAAAATATTGACACATACTGCAAACGAATAAGTAATCAACACTGTTAACGAATCAGTTTTCTGCAGGGCTGCTCCTTTAAAATGGAGATCCAACCACTTTTCTAAAAAAAAGTTCCCAAGGATTTTTTTGCTTGAAAGGTGCCAGCCCAAACGTGAACCACATTTTGGGCCTTGGAAATAGCGGTTTCTATTCTACAAGGGGCACCTAATCACTTGGACTCAGGTTTTCATTCTATAGTGGATTATTTGTTAGAAGCGGTGGCCAGTATGAGGCTGGGTTTTCATTCTATAGAAGTGGAAGGGGAGGTGTCAGTGGGCAATAATATTGTAAATGCTGTATGATACTGTAAAATATTGACACATACTGCAAACGAATAAGTAATCAACACTGTTAACGAATCAGTTTTGTGCAGGGCTGCTCCTTTAAAATGGAGATCCAACCACTCTTCTAAAAATGGTTCCCAAGGTTTTTTTTGCTTGGAAGGTGCCAGCCCAAACGTGAACCACATTTTGGGCCTTGGAAATAGCGGTTTCTATTCTACAGGGGGCACCTAATCACTTGGACTCAGGTTTTCATTCTATAGTGGATTATTTGTTAGAAGCGGTGGCCGGTATGAGGCTGGGTTTTCATTCTATAGGAGTGGAAAGTGTGCAGAAAGGGGGGTGTCAGTGGGCAATAATATGGTAAAATATTGAAACATATTGTAAACGAATAAGTGGTCAACACTGTTCACGAATCAGTTTTGTGCAGGGCTGCTCCTTTAAAATGGAGATCCAACCACTCTTCTAAAAATGGTTCCCAAGGTTTTTTTTGCTTGAAAGGTGCCAGCCCAAACGTGAACCACATTTTGGGCCTTGGAAATAGCGGTTTCTATTCTATAGGGGGCACCTAATCACTTGGACTCAGGTTTTCATTCTATAGTGGATTATTTGTTAGAAGCGGTGGGTATGAGGCTGGGTTTTCATTTTATAGGAGTGGAAAGTGTGCAGAAAGGGGGGTGTCAGTGGGCAATAATATTGTAAAATATTGAAACATATTGTAAACGAATAAGTGGTCAACACTGTTCACGAATCAGTTTTGTGCAGGGCTGCTCCTTTAAAATGGAGATCCAACCACTCTTCTAAAAATGGTTCCCAAAAAATTTTGAAAGGTGCCAGCCCAAACGTGAACCACATTTTGGGCCTTGGAAATAGCGGGTTCTATTCTGTAGGGGGCATGTTTCCTAATCACTGGGACCCAGTTTTTCATTCTATAGTGGATTATTTGTTAGAAGCGGTGGCCAGTATGAGGCTAATCATACTGGCCACTGCTTGTAACAAAATCTAACAAACAATCCACTATAAAATGAAAACCTGAGTCCAAGTGATTAGGAAAAAGACCCCCTATAGCATAGAAAACTGGGTTTGCAATGCCTCAAGTTTGGTGTCACTTTTGGGTATGTAAACTGCATGGGCGCAATCCAGGTACCATTCTATAGTAAACACTGGCCTACCAGCCTCATCCCTATAGAATCGTACCCCCAGGTGATCTATTTTATAGATATTTTTCCCAGGAGGATCATATGTGTGTATATTATATATATATATATATATATATTACATATATGTATCCATACTGGTTGGTGGTTTCAACCCCTCTGAAAAATATTAGTCAGTTGGGATGATTATTCCCAATATATGGAACAATAAAAGCCATGTTCCAAACCACCAATCAGCATATATATATATATATGGGGATGGGTCAAAACCCTATCCCCCTGGTGAACATCAAAATAGCTGGTAAATGGATGTTCATCCCCCTAAAAATGGTATAAATAGGTATTGATCCATACCAATATAATTTATGATTGGCTAATAGTTATAATAAATATTAATACACCAATTACTGCGACGTGGTAAGCAGGTCCAAAGTGGCCGAAGGCACTTCTTGTCGCAGCATTCCTCATCCGAAAAGCCGCGGCGATCCAGGTTGGTGGCGCCATGCCTTGTCGTCACGTCCGCATTGACGGATATCCATTGGGGGTACCATGGGGATACCATGATCTGGATGGAAAATCATGTGAACCTCCTATAAATTTGGAAGCTTGAGATAATATGTCTAAATTGAGTTGTGGGAACCTTCGTTTTCTGATATATATATATATATATTTGTGAGGAGATGTTTTGAGATTTTTTGGGTGATATCTTGGCATCTTCCCAAAAAAGAACAATAGAGTTTCATTTTCCGTCCAAGAAGGGAAAAGTGTCCATTGCATATCCCAACAGATTTCCAATGCTTGAATATGTTGGGCATATAATAGGTGTTCCTTAGTTTTCCTTAGAAAGAAAGGAACATGGTGGAAACTCGTGATTTCACATGTGTGGGGGTGTCTTTGGCAGATTGCTCATGATTCTTGCAATAGGTGTTTCCTCTACGGCTATCACCACTGGTTTTCCCATTTAAAAAAGACAACTCGGAGAATAATAACTTGGGGTCCCCATGACTTAAGAAAGTCCCAAATCCCAACTTGCTGGGATCAACATGTCGTAGATTTGCAAAACGCTGTTTTTCTCCCGAGGGTTGTATCAACTCTGCAATCACTCTCCCTCTCTCTTCTCTACATAATATTTCTAAATATATAGAAAAACACACTCGCCAGCTATACAGGCGATACATATAGATAGGTAGATAGATGGATAAAATTGGATAAATATAGATAGATACAGTACCGACTACTGGTTTTTCAGTCCAAGGTGCTGGTTGGACAAATGCACCCACTTGCTGGGATCGCTGCAGGTCCATGCGCTGCAGAACTTCTTCTCACAGCACTCCTCATCGCTGCTGCCCTGCATGGTGGCCTGGGCGCTACGGCGCTACGCGGAGACTTAGATATTCATGACAATAGAAATAATGACACTAATAGTATAATCATAGGATTATAATAGTACTATAACAGAGTCATAATAATAGCACTATACTAGAGTTATAATAATAGTGTCTAAGATAAAGTGGTCATCATCCTAGAACCAAGGATAGCACTAAGATAAAAGAAACAACCGGCCCATCTGCGGTGCCACGGGCGTGAACATAAATTGGACCATAGGCATATGTGATCCTAAGATAGCTCAAAATTCTGTGTAAATGTACGTCTATCTATATCTCTATGCCTATTCATACACCTATACATAACATGTATATATATATATATATATAATTAATTATAATTATATATATAACTCTATATATAACTATATATATACGTAATTATATATACATATATAATATACGGAATAATATATATATATAGGGGTTATGCCTTGTGAATATGTTTAAAAATGAATGTGCCCCTCTTGCAGTTTCATCTTCATATGCTCCAGAGAAAAATCCTTGCTCCCCATGCCGCACAGGAGGTGGAACAAACGGTTGCCACCACTTCTGTTGGGGTCAATCTTGTAGGATGGCTAGTCCTGAAATGGTTCCCTGGAGCCATAATGTCTGATCCATACCTTCTCTCAGCATCTATAGATAGATCTATGTATATATATCTATACATATGCTCGATATCTATATATATATGATAGCCAAATTACTCAGTTGTTCTGCCAAACAGTGGCAAACATCCGAAGTGTGGTTCTTTCACCATTCTTGAGTCATTTCACTGCTGATTCATGTCAGCGACCTCTCAAAATGGTTCGCATCAAAGCCAGTTGGTCACAAAACAAAAAAACTAAAACTGGTTATATTAATACAGTGACTAAAAACAAAACAATCACCAACTGTCGGAATCAGAAAATTTCGACCCCCTCCCCCTCCCACAAAAAAAAAGAACCGGACTGCTCGAGTCTCCCCCAACAGCGATGGCCAGCGGCCCAGCCTGACCCGGCTTCTTCTGGAGGGCCTCATTACTGCAGGTATACGAGGAGCACATGATCCTTGGGAACGAAGCATTTTCAGTGTTGGCTCACTGAAAAAAGCGGCAAACACCTACTGGACAATGGTCACGTATGGTCACTAATAAAAAATGAAGTTACAGTGGATCTTTACTGAATTGAAAAAAGAGGATCAGTAGTCAGTAGGCAAGACAAAAATGGAGGCGCATCCCAAAATGGGCATGGGTCAACCGGTCAACATCTAGCATTCCCAAAATGACTCAATTCAGTGGTGCTATCTGCAAGGATCTTGGTGCAGCATTGCTCCTTGGTGCTGCCTGCAAAGGGGCCGAAGTGTGATGAATGGGTCTGAGGGTGAGGATTCATACTGTCTAATGAAATTTCCAAGAGACTTGACTGGTGGATCCATGGATGCTTGAGAGATCATCATCTTAGATGGCAAGAAAAATGCCTGAAACATCTTGAACCCATTTGAAACCCTAACCTGTAGACCTGTGTCACAAATCTGATCTTGAAACAGTCCTCTGTGTTCATGACATTTCATGGCCATGGCCACGGCCTACCACAGCTGCCGGGTTGGGCTTCCACTTGGTGTTGTTGGGGCACTCGAAGGTGTCGCACTTCTTGACCTTGGAGGCACTGGACTGTCGAAATGTGGCATGGACCACAAGATACCCGAGATTTCCCATTCCCAAGCCTCAACCTACAGAGGGGCCTTGTAATTCTTGCCTTGTAATCCTCATAGGAACCATGGTCTGAGCTCACTCAATGCCAATATCTGTTCATAGCCATTTCAAACTTTATTTCCATGCTACAACAAAGCAAACGTAGCATAGGACCCCCGAAAACATCCATACCATGGTCTCAACAATCAAAACCCTTGATACTTTTGATACTTTTCCCCTCCTAGAAGAACGTTGAAATTGATTGAAATTGAGGATTTTGGAGGAGCATTTGAGAAAATCAGACCCTTGCTAGTGAAATCCACCTTTTTTGACTGACACTCTAATCCCGGTTTCGATCTTACATGAATTGCGTGGATCTGCATTACGTCTGGTCCTGCATTTTGGAGGGTCATCCAAGGAGCATCAGAGCAGGCTTCCTTGCTGTTGCCCAAGATGTTGGCTGCTCCAGGCTTCAGACCAAAGTCCTCCGGCAGTCGTCGCAGCATGTTGTGAACAACACATCCACCGCTCAAGGCTGGTACTGTCCTCACTAGGCTGGCAGTCAAAGCCCTTGCAGTACTTGCCAGCCTCAGTTCTTTTGGTTCAATTCTTTGACTGGGCCATGGTTTTTCTAGTGAACCATCATCATGACCCATCTTACTTGGGGGTACCCAAGTTTGAACAAATACAAAATGATTGTGTTGTCAGGTACTCAGAATATCCCAAATATGCAGATTAAATCAACAGCAATGACATGCAATGACAGCAATTCATGTTCATCGCCGAGCGGCGCAGCACTCGTCGTCGGTGCTGCCGTAGCGTGGGGTGCCGTCCTCGTTGTAGTTGGGGCTTTTGGTCATCAAGGCCTTGGCGCGCCGGTGCTGACCTTGGGTAATGTTACGGCCAAACACCTCGTCTTGCCCGCGCCTGTTGGCCCGCCTTCTTTGTATGAGCTGAAAACGTGGTAAAAATGTGATATATGTTAGCATTGTGGTTAACTTGATGTTCTAGATCAGATAGCACAGCAGAGAGACCTGTGCGGGTTGGTTCCACATCCACATCATCATCATCATCATCATCGTCGTCGTCGTCGTCGTCATCATCATCATCGTCATCGTCATCGTCATCATCATCATCATCATCATCGTCATCATCATCATCATCATCGTCATCAAAAATGAAGATCTTCAACGAATATAGAAGTTTAACCCGGTGGGAGAATTAAACCCTTATTGAAGTTCTTCAATAAATGTAGAAGTTTCACGGGGTGGAAGATTTGAACCCTTATTGAAGATCTCCAATGAATGCAGAAGTTCAACGGGGGTGGGAGAATTGAACCCTTATTGAAGATCTTCAATGAATGTACAAGTTTAACGCGGGTTGGAGAATTAAACCCTTATTGAAGGCCTTCAATGAATGTAGAAGTTTAACGGAGGAAGATTTAAACTCTTATTGAAGATCTTCAATGAATGTAGAAGTTCAACGGGGGTGGAAGAATTGAACCCTTATTGAAGATCTTCAATGAATGTACAAGTTTAACGCGGGTTGGAGAATTAAACCCTTATTGAAGGCCTTCAATGAATGTAGAAGTTCAACAGGGGTGGGAGAATTAAACCCTTATTGAAGATCTTCAATGAATGTAGAGGTTTAACGCGGGTGGGAGAATTGAACCAATGAATGTAGAAGTTTAACCTGGGTGGGAGAATTAAACCCTTATTGAAGATCTTCAATGAGTGTAGAGGTTTAACGCGGGTGGGAGAATTGAACCCTTATTGAAGATCTTCAATGAATGTAAAGTTTAGCGGGGGTGGGAGAATTAAACTCTTATTGAAGATCTTCAATGAATGTAAAATGAATGTAAAGTTTAACGGGGGTGGGACTTTTGTATTCCCTAATACCTTTGTTGATCTTCCCAAGACAAGAAGGGTGTGGGCGAAACGGGGTGTTTGCGCGAAATGTTACCATGATATAATGGGATTGTGTATGTAAAATATATGTATAATACTTATACTATGGTGACGGTGATTTATAGATCATATTGTATATATACACATCTATTTATATTTTCATATTAGTATTAATGGGATTATATACTAGAACGGGATTTATAGAGAATATGTTGTATTCATACATTTGTATTCATATTATATGAATGAATGGAATATTAATGTAGCGTGGTGATCAATACCCTCTTAACTCTTAACCAACAAAGATCAGGAAATTAATGGGAATACCCTCTGGTGTGATCAAACGTTGCTTGATGGAAAATCACCCACTTGTAGGTAATTTTCCCATTCAAAATGGCTATATATATATATATGAATATGTGTGGGGAACTTCCCAGCTAGCCATGTTTGATTACCGCAAGGTACAAGGATTGACCTGACTTGGATGATCATTCAAGCTTGCCCAAGGTAGCAACTAACAAGTATGATGTTTCTACGAGCCAGAGATGGCACGACATTTCACGAATCCAAGTGGTTGACAGGACCATAAATAATGACTGGATGACTGGTTTGAAACTATGTTGGATTTGAGTTCCAAATAGAGTGACCAGATTTATATAGAGCTACACCATGGTTGGTCACTGGGCAGTTTTGGGGCAACGACCTGGAGAATTCGCCATGCTATGATCATTTAGGGACCCAACATGGCCAGAAATCGACGGTGTTGAGACGCTTGTTGATGAAGCGTTCATTGGATCCAGGGTTCCAGGAGGTTTCCAGCATGCAGGAGATTGATGAAGCAGGAAAGCCGAGTGGCATTCATAAGATTGCACGAGGCTAGTATGCAAACTCTCATATCTTTCTGTATAATATTTCCCTCGTCTAAGTTCATAGAAAGACACCAGTGTTCAAGTTGGGCAAAGTATCAAACATGCTTAGCTCAAGTTGGACCTGATACTTGGCCTTGATTTCCTGTTGGGAGCAACCATTCCAGTGCCCCAATTGGGACCCATTCCCATGAATGAAGTAGAAAATCCCATGAGAACCCAATCACACAAATTCTTCCGCTTTCCTTCTTCCACCTCTTGGATGGGACTTGACACCCGAGCACAAGGCATTAAGCCAATATCAAAAATGCACCAAATTAGGGCTACAAGAGAAGCACTGTGCAAGCCAACTACACAGCAAGGTCCCGCGCATTCCAACTATATCATAGACATTCTCGTAGATTATCTATAAATTATAGGGGGAATTCCATATCTTATCTATAATGATTATATACTATAATCATATATAATATATATATATACAGCTGCCCATAGACCAGTGCCTTTCCAGGACTTGACTGAGGGTTTACCAGATATTGAGGGACAGAAGTAGCCATTCTCATCCCAAGCATTCTGGGCGCATGACAAAACACTGACCGTAAATACCAAAAAACATGTTGGATACGGTTGCGGTTCAACGTTTCCCCGCACAAAATCCATCCTACCATTTTCGTCAAAATGCTGGGCGTTGTGCCAGGTCACAGGGTTGGAGCAGGTGTAGGTGGCACACTCCAGCCTCTCGCAGCATTCCTCCTTCGTACTGCCCAGGACCACATCTCCTCAGGTGCTCCAGCTTTCCACGGGATGAACCCGGGGGGACAACATGGGACAACCGGCTTAATGTTTGTCTTCCAGGGAGTTCTTGACAGTTCTTGAGTCTGATTTCTAAAAAGGTTGGATGTTTCCGCTGGAAAACCTCTTTTCTGATCAATTTTCAGCACCTTTCTAGGAACTCAGCGGTTTCAACCGCCTGAAAATATGTCATAGTCAGTCTCTATCATCTTGCAAAACAGGATTGACAAGAACATGAAACCACCGACCCTTGTTTGTTCTTCGGATAGACCCCTGGGTTGGCACATCTAGACAACCTTGATGTTTAACATGTCATGTAGAACCATCCAACAAGACCTCCAACTTTGGGTTTGCTGATTCTTATCGAACATGCCATGATATGTTTGTCCTTATGTTTGTTCCATCACAAAATTGCGACAGTTTTGCAAGTACTATATCTAACATTGGGTACAATGATCTGGCCTACCAGGCCTACCACCTTCCAAAACACATGTTCAAACATTATTTGGAGGTTTCCTAAAATGGAGTACCCCTAGTTGTCATCCATTTTATTTTCAGATTTTCCATATTATCATAAACCAACCATTTCCATCCATTTTCATCATAAACCCAGTAATCGTACATTTTGAAATTTTCCATGAAATAAACCAACCATTTTTGGGGATCCTGGAAACCCCCATTTCATCTGTGATCGTTGGTACCCAGCAACCCTTGCTGACCCACTTGGTGTCGTCTTTGCACAGGTCGTTGGGACAGTACCTCGTTTTGCCAGGTTCCGCTGTTTTCAAGATTCAGAATGGAGAAAACCTAACAATCCAAACAACTATGTATTTGTACATACATGTATATGAATCAATATAGGTGTGTGTGGGTGTGTAAATAAATATATATGTGTGGATAATACTTGTATATATATATATGTAGATGTACATGTATTAATAAATGTAAAATCATGTAAAAACATATGTACATATAAATGTGTGTGTGAAGATATGTAGATATTGCAGACATTGCAGATATTGTAGGTATTGTATGTATTGTATGTATTGTATATATTGTATGTGTGGTATGTAGTGTATGTATGGTATGTATGGTATGTATTGTATGTATGGTATGTATGGTATGTACGGTATGTATGGTATGTACGGTATGTATGGTATGTATGTATGGTATGTATGTATGTATGATATGGTATGTATGTATGGTATGTATGTATGGTATGGTTTGTATTGTATGTATTGTATGTATTGTATGTATGGTATGTATGGTATGTATGGTATGTATGGTATGTATGGTATGTATGGCATGTATGGTATGTATGGTATGTATGGTATGTATGATATGTATGGTATGTATGGTATGTTTGGTATGGTATTGTATGTAATGTATGGTATGGTATGGTATGGTATGGTATGTATGGTATGGTATGTATGGCATGGTATGATATGATATGATATGGTATGATATGATATGGTATGGTTGCTATGTATGGTATGTATTGTATGTATTGTACGGAATGTATGGAATGTATGGTATGTATGGTATGTATGGTATGTATGGTATGGTAAGGAAAGGTAAGGTATGGTATGGTTGGTATGTATGGTATATATGTATGGTATGTATTGTATGTATGTATGGTATGTATTGTATGTATTGTATGTATGGTATGCATGGATGTATGGATGTATGGATTGTATGGATTGTATGGTATTATGGATTGTATGGATTGTATGGTATGTATGGATTGTATGGTATGTACGGATTGTATCGTATGTATGATATGTATGGTATGTATGGATTGCACGGTATGTATGGTATGTATGGTATGTATGGTATGTATGGTTTGTATTGTATGTATGGTATGTATGGTATGTATGGTATGTATGTATGTATGTTGGTATGGTATGGTGTGGTATGGTATGGTATGGTATAATATGGTAAAGTATTGTATGTATGTATGGTATGGTATGGTATGCAATGCATGTAATGTAAAAAATAAATGTAATGTACACCATGTATGTAATGTATGTAATGCATGTAATGCATGCATTGCAGGTAACGCATGTAAAGCATGTAGTGCATGTAATGCATGTAATCCATGTAATGCATGTAATGCATGTACTGCATGTATTGTATGTAATGTATGTAATGTATGTAATGTATGTAGAGTTTGTAGTGTATGTAATGTATGCGATGTATGTGATGTATGTGATTTATGTATTGTATGTATTGTATGTATTGTAAGGTATGTATGGTATGTATTGTACGGTATGTATGGTATGTATGGTATGTAATGCATGTATGTAATGTATGTAATGTAAGTAATGTATGTAATGTGTGTAATGCATGTATGTAATGTATGTAATGTATGCAATGTATGTAATGAATGTAATGTATGTATGTAATGTATGAATGTAATGTATGTATGTAATGTATGAAATGTTTGTAATGTATGTCTGCATGTATGTAATGTAATGTAATGTAATGCGATGTAATGTATGTAATGTAATGTTTGCAATGAATGTAATGACTGTAATGACTGTAATGCAATGCAATGCATTGCAATGCAATGCAATGCAATGCAATGCAATGTACTGTATGTATGTATGTATGTATGTGTGTATGTATGTATGTATGTATGTATGTAGGTAGGTACTAATGTATGTATGTATGTATGTAGGTAGGTACTAATGTATGCAATGTATGTAATGTATGTAATGTATGTAATGTATGTAATGTATGCAATGTATGTAATGTATGTAATGTATGTAATGTATGTAATGTATGTAATGTATGTAATGTATGTAATGTATGTAATGTATGTAATGTACGTAATGTATGTAATGTATGTAGAGTTTGTAGTGTATGTAATGTATGCGATGTATGTGATGTATGTGATTTATGTATTGTATGTATTGTATGTATTGTAAGGTATGTATGGTATGTATTGTACGGTATGTATGGTATGTATGGTATGTAATGCATGTATGTAATGTATGTAATGTATGTAATGTATGTAATGTGTGTAATGTGTGTAGTGTATGTATGTAATGTATGCAATGTATGTAATGAATGTAATGTATGTAATGAACGTAATGTATGTATGTATGTATGTAATGTAATGTAATGTAATGTAATGTAAAGTAATGTACGTATGTATGTAATGTTACGTTAAGTTATGTTATGTTATGTTATGTAATGGAATGTATGTATGTTTGGTACGTACGTACGTACGCATGCATGCATGCATGCATGCATTCTGCATGCATGTGCTCAAATATAAATATTATATATATATATACATTGCTCATAAGCACTATAGATTATATATTGCTCATATCGTACCTGTGATGTATACAGTACATCTCAATAATTGATGATACCATATGTATATATATAATATATGTGTGTGTATGTCAGGCAGCTTTTCCAAACCATGTTGACGCTGCGCAGGATCCTCAATTGCAATGCCCGGAGTACGTACACGTTGCCAATATCTCCACAAGGAAAAACACATACTGTGCAGCGTAGCGGTATCGTCAGGAGTCCAGTTCCTTTCTGGGACCCAGTTTTAGCGGATTGACATCTCCAACAAATATAAGCTACAGCCATCTGATGTGTCCCATTGCGTCAGTTATGGAATCAGAGAATCAACTTGCTGCAAACATGTTTACTACAAATCAAGAGATAAGGATGAGAGATGGTTGTAGGTTAAAATTAGCCACTCCAATCTACCCACAGGATTCCATCCACTAAACTAGCACATGGTGGATTGTGATCTCTCCTCATTGTTGGCTCTTTACACACTGTTGATTCAATCCCAAGCATTGCTATAACTTATTCACCAATTTGGTGGTTCAAAACCAATATCCGCAAATTTCAAATGTCAGTCAGTCATCTAGTAGGTTTCTTTCGATAAGTTTGTTCATTCGAGCGTTCATTCTCGGTTACCGTTTGTTTTGTTGGCATTTGTTGGCCATATACCTCAGTATAGCAGTTCCATGGTGCGTCTATAGCGTCTACATTCTATTGTATCTGCATGAGTGTCTATGTGACGTATGTCTATATTGATACAACATATTATATATCGGCGGTTCAAAAAACAATTCCCTAGAGAACATCAAATGTCACTGTTTGGGTAACAAACCACCAGAGCAGTGTTCAGAATCCTTTGTCATTTCCTCGCGCTGGTTGGTTGAGATCGGGATTCCCATTATGGGTGATACGAATCCGCAAATACACCAGGTGGTATAACCAGCTAGTATAACCAAGTACATGAACTCATTAACCGTAATTTATAAACGATATCCCCACATGATACATGTTTGATGGTTCAAAGGCCCATAAATGATCCTTCGGTAACCAAACCAAGCTTTGGGAAATCCCCTAACTTCCATATAAATGGAGGTTATAGCTGGGAAAATCAGCAAACTAAATGGGGAATTGTTCCTTGCCATGTGTGAAGGCCGGATGGCAAATACCGATTGAATCAAAAATTCTACACTTAACTCCCATGGCAAATTCCCATTGAATCCCCATTGACTCCCCATTAAATCACTGTTTCCCTGACAATGCCCGTGTTAACTGCGATCCAAGATGCTTGGGGCTGCAGCAGGTTGAGTTGTCATGGCCCTTCTTCTCGCTAAAATTGGCTGCCTTCGAACAGCAATCCTGTGGTAATTCCCAAAAAAAGTGGTGGCAAAGCACTGTCCTATTTTTTAAGGGTGGTTACTATATGTACATTGTATTATGTCTTATATTATACTATATCATGGTATATTCAATGAGATTATGTATCAATATATTAAACTAAATATTGTTAAATGATACTGTATATTAACTACACTATATATGTTATGTTAAATTAAATAATTTAGATTATGTGTTTTACATTGTAGATTAAATAATGTCCATTATTTTATTTTAGTTCTATGTATTTATACAATATATATATATATTATGTATTAAACATATATATTTATATATAACATGTATATATATATATATATCTATACAAAAATCATAAAATATAATATAATTTAAATAAATATATAATGTATATATATATATTATTTTTAGATAGATAGATTAGATATATATATATATACATATAATACAGCCACTGAAAAAATGGAAATGAAGAAAAAACGACATGGGTCATGGGTCGGTAAAAATCTGCCTCGCGTCGGGCCGTAATTTTCCATAATTCTGTCTTTCTCATAAAAATGCAGACCTCTAAAATCTCTAATCATTCTTCGATCGAACCTTTTCGGATGGGGCGTGACGCGCTGCAGGTAAATTTCCATATAATTTGTTTTTTCCATGTGAGGGTGCTTTTTGGCACTCGACCATTTCCATAATTATTTTTTCCTGAAAGGGTGACAACTTTTCTATTGACATGTTTCCATAATTCTTTTGGCCATGGCTACAGTGCATAATTTATGGTAACACTTGTGATTTATGACCCACTGACCATGTCCAGAATTCTGTCGACGAGCAAGTTAGCCAACAACAATGAACCTGGATTTAGTTCCAAAATCATGCAAAAACACTCAAAACTAGGTAGTTTGGAGGATCAGGATCCGAAAAGTAAGATTTCCAAAATTAATTTTGCATCGTGGGTTAGAGGCTTTTGTAGACATTCGTCTCATCCTTTTTTTGAAGGATCAGGATCCGAAAACTGAATCTAGATTTAGTCCCAAGATCATGCAAATACGCTGTAAACCAGCTGGTTTGGAGGATAAGGATCCCAAAACTGAATCTGGATTTAGTCCCAAAATCATGCAAATACGCTGTAAACCAGGTGGCTTGGAGGATAAAGATCCCAAAACTGAATCTGGATTTAGTCCCAAAATCATGCAAAAACACTCAAAACCAGGTAGCTTGGAGGATCAGGATCCGATAAGCAAGATTTCCAAAATTATTTTTGCATCGTGGATGAAAGGCTTTTGTAGAAATTTGTCCCATCTTGTTTTTTGAAGGATCAGGATCCGAAAACTGAATCTAGATCTAGTCCCAAGATCATGCAAATACGCTGTAAACCAGTTGGTTTGAAGTATAAGGCTCCAAAAACGGAATCTGGACTTAATCCCAAAATCATGCAACAACACTCAAAACCAGGTAGTTTGGAGGATCAGGATCCGAAAAGTAAGATTTCCAAAATTAATTTTGCATTGTGGATTAGAGGCTTTTGTAGACATTTGTCTCATCCTTTTTTTGAAGGATCAGGATCCGAAAACTGAATCCAGATTTAGTCCCAAGATCATGCAAATACGCTGTAAACCAGCTGGCTTGGAGGATCAGGATCCAAAAACTGAATCTAGATTTAGCCCCAAGATCATGCAAATACGCCGTAAACCAGCTGGTGGAGGATAAGGATACCGGATACCAAAACTGAATCTAGTTTTAGTCCAAAGATCATGCAAATAAACTGTAAAAAAGGTGGTTTGAAGGATAAGGATCACAAAACTGAATCTGGATAAGGGTCCCAAAACTGAATCCGGATTTAGTCCCAAAATCATGCAAATACGCTGTAAACCAGCTGGTTTGGAGGACAAAGCTTCCAAAACTGAATCTGGACTTAATCCCAAAATCATGCAAAAACAATCAAAACCAGGTAGTTTGGAGGATCAGGATCCGAAGAGTAAGATTTCCAAAATTAACTTTGCATCGTGGATGAGAGGCTTTTGTAGGCATTTGTCTCATCCTTTTTTTTGAAGGATCAGGATCCGAAAACTGAATCTAGATTTAGCCCCAAGATCATGCAAATACGCCGTAAACCAGCTGGTGGAGGATAAGGATACCGGATACCAAAACTGAATCTGGATTTAGTCCCAAGATCATGCAAATACGCTGTAAACCAGCTGGTTTGGAGGATAAGGATCCCAAAACGGAATCTGGATTTAGTCCCAAAATCATGCAAGAACACTCAAAACCAGGTAGTTTGGAGGATCAGGATCCGAAAAGTAAGATTTCCAAAATTATTTTTGCATCGTGGATGAAAGGCTTTTGTAGAAATTTGTCCCATCTTGTTTTTTTGAAGGATCAGGATCCGAAAACTGAATCTAGATCTAGTCCCAAGATCATGCAAATACGCTGTAAACCAGCTGGCTTGGAGGATCAGGATCCAAAAACTGAATCTAGATTTAGTCCAAAGATCATGCAAATAAACTGTAAAAAAGGTGGTTTGAAGGATAAGGATCACAAAACTGAATCTGGATAAGGGTCCCAAAACTGAATCCGGATTTAGTCCCAAAATCATGCAAATACGCTGTAAACCAGCTGGTTTGGAGGATAAAGCTTCCAAAACTGAATCTGGACTTAATCCCAAAATCATGCAAAAACAATCAAAACCAGGTAGTTTGGAGGATCAGGATCCGGAAAGTAAGATTTCCAAAATTAAGTTTGCATCGTGGATGAGAGGCTCTTGTAGACATGTGTCTCATCCTTTTTTTGAAGGATCAGGATCCGCAAATTGAATCTAGATAATTTAGTCCCAAGATCATGCAAATACCAGCTGGTTTGGAGGATAAGGATCCCAAAACTGAATCTGGATTTAGTCCCAAAATCATGCAAAAAACACTCAGAACCAGGTAGTTTGGAGGATCAGGATCCGAAGAGTAAGATTTCCAAAATTAATTTTGCATCGTGGATGAGAGGCTTTTGTAGACATTTGTCTCATCCTTTTTTTTTTGAAGGATCAGCATCCAAAACTGAATCTAGATTTAGTCCCAAGATCATGCAAATACGCTGTAAACCAGCTGGTTTGGAGGATCAGGATCCAAAAACTGAATCTAGATTTAGTCCCAAGATCATGCAAATAAACTGTAAAAAATGTGGTTTGGAGGATAAGGATCCCAAAACTGAATCTGGATTTAGTCCCAAAATCAAGCAAATTTGCTGTAAACCAGCTGGTTTGGAGGATACGGACACCAAAACTGAATCTGGATTTAGTCCCAAAATCATGCAAATACGCTGTAAACCAGGTGGCTTGGAGGATAAGGTTTCCAAAACTGAATCTGGACTTAGTCCCAAAATCATGCAAAAACAATCAAAACCAGGTAGTTTGGAGGATCAGGATCCGAAGAGTAAGATTTCCAAAATTAACCTTGCATCGTGGATGAGAGGCTTTTGTAGGCATTTGTCTCATCCTTTTTTTTGAAGGATCAGGATCCGAAAACTGAATCTAGATTTAGTCCCAAGATCATGCAAATAAACTGTAAAAATCGTGGTTTGGAGGATCAGGATCCAAAAACTGAATCTGGATTTAGTCCCAAAATCATGCAAATTTGCTGTAAACCAGCGGGTTTGGAGGATAAGGACCCCAAAACTGAATCCGGATTTAGTCCCAAAATCATGCAAATACGCTGTAAACCAGGTGGCTTGGAGGATAAAGCTTCCAAAACTGAATCTGGATTTAGTCCCAAAATCATGCAAAAACAATCAAAACCAGGTAGCTTGGAGGATCAGGATCCGAAAAGTAAGATTTCCAAAATTAACTTTGCATCGTAGATTAGAGGCTTTTGTAGACATTCGTCTCATCCTTTTTTTTGAAGGATCAGGATACGAAAACTGAATCTAGATTTAGTCCCAAGATCATGCGAATACGCCGTAAACCAGCTGGTTTGGAGGATAAGGATAACAAAACTCAATCTGGATTTAGTCCCAAAATCATGCAAATACGCTGTAAACCAGCTGGTGGAGGATAAGGATCCCAAAACTGAATCTGGATTTAGTCCCAAGATCATGCAAATACGCTGTAAACCAGCTGGTTTGGAGGATAAGGATCCCAAAACTGAATCTGGATTTAGTCCCAAAATCATGCAAAAAACACTCAGAACCAGGTAGTTTGGAGGATCAGGATCCGAAGAGTAAGATTTCCAAAATTAATTTTGCATCGTGGATGAAAGGCTTTTGTAGACATTCGTCTCATTTTTCTTTTGAGAGGATCAGGATCCGAAAATTGCTATTTCCATGTTTTTTATGATCGGTAATTTCTCTAATATCGCATCTTGGTTTCGGGGCCGAACCTTTTCCGATACCTGCGGCACGCGAACCTTTTTTCATGTCCAAAATTCTGTCGGTGACCATAATATATAATCATATATAATAATATTTAATAATATAGAATAAAATATCCAGTACATATATATATATATACAAAATTATAAATTATACATTATATATTTTATGGTAAAAGTGTGTTTTATGTTATAAATTAAATATTAAATATATTGTACGTATATTATAAATTCTATATAGTACGTATATTATAAATTTTAAATATTATATATTATATATTTTATATTAAATATTGAATACAAAATATATTATATATTAAAAATATTACATAATATATATATATATATTATAATATATATATATATTACATGTATTATATTTTTAACATTATATTTTGCACATTGTATATTATAAAAAATCTATAATCAATGATTATATATCGTGTATTATATATCATGTATGCTACATTGTATATTACATAGTACATATTATATCCTATATCTTGGTATATAATATTAGATATCATGCTTTACTATATTACATATTACGTTATAACATGTTGTATGATATTGTATCCTTTATGTATTATATCGGTGGTTTTATTTCATTATAATTTACATTAAGCAAAAGATTATACTGCATTATATATTAAATACAAAATCAGAGATGGCAACAGCAGTTGCCCAATTTCAGCTGACGACCTCTGACGACCTCGACGACCTCGATCTAAAGTCTGCCGACGACCCTGACGACCCTGACGACCCTGATGACCCTGACGACCCCTGACGACCCTGACGACCCTTGACGACCCTGACGATCCCTGACGAACCCTAACGACCCTGACGACCCTGACGACCCCTGACGACCCCGACGACCCCCGACGACCCCTACGACCTCTGTCGACCCTGCACGACTGCCACAGGAGATCTTTGTCCGTTTTGACGCCCCTGTCTCTGACCTTTGTTCGTGTGTTGAACGTATTGGTTTGTAGGGTGGATGGGCGGGAAATTTCAACAATTTACCCCACATATTCTGTTGAGCGTATTGCTTTGTGAGGCCGAAGGGGTTTAATCTCAAAACTGACTCAAGATGCCAATTTATGTCATGCGCTCCACATAATGTTTTGTGGTCGAAGGGGGCTAGGTAAATGTTAAAAATGACTCAATGCATTGTTCTGTAGGGGTGGAACGAAATGTTCAACATGACTCAAGATGCCGAGGTGGTTCATGTGCTGAAAATAACGTTTTTGTAGGGGAGGGGTTAAATCTATAACAATGACTCATATGCTAAACCTATTGCTTTGTAGGGTCGAGGGAGATAAGTTTCAAAAATGGCTCCAGATGCTAATGTTCTTCACATGTTCAACATATTGGCTTGCTGTAGGAGAAGGAATTAACGAATATAAGAATGATTCATTTCATTTTGTTCAAATATTCAACGTAATAATTTCCAGGGGAAGGAAAAGACACCTTAAACATGGTTCATGATGCCAAGTTGTTTTATATGTTGAACGTTGTGTTTTTGTAGGAGACAGCGGGGGAAAAACATAACAATGACTCAAGATTCCAAATTGGTTGATATGCTGAGCGTTGCAGTTTAAAAGGGATGGGGGGGAGATGGGGGAAGTACATTCAAATTTCAAAACAACGACTCAACATGTCAACTTTGTTCATATATTGCAGGTACTGCTTTGGGGAGCCGACAAGAAGTTATAAATTTCAAAAATAACCCCACATGTCAATTTTCTGCACTTGTTCAACCGTTTGCTTTGTAGGGTCGAGGGGGGCCAATTTTTAAAAATGACTCCACGTGCAAAATCTCTCCGTATGTTCAACTTTATTGCTTTGTAGGGTCGACGGGATGTAAATTTCAAAAGTGACTCAAGATGCCTTTTTTTCCATGAGTTCAACGTATTGTTTTGTTGTAGGGGAAGGCAAGGAACATTTTTACATAAGTCAAGATGCCATGCTGATTCATACGTTAAACATTGCATTTCGTAGGGGACAGGGAGGTAAATCCAAAAGAATGAATCAACATGTCAACTTGATCCATATGTTGAATGTATTGATTTGTATGGTCCAGTGGGCGTAAATTCCAAACATGACTCGAGGTTCCAATTTGTTTGTTCAACCTCTTGCTTTGTTGTAGGGGAAGGAAAAGACATTTCAAACATGACTCAGGATGCCAACTGGGTTCATATGTTGAACAAAGTGTTTTGTAGGGGGCCGGAAGATAAATCTATAGCAATGACTCAACATGTCAACTTTCTTCATATGTTGAACCGGCCGTATGGTTTTGAAGGTCGAGTGGGGGGTAAATTTTCAAAATGACACCACGTGGTCACTCTCCGCATACAATGAACGTATTGTTTTGTAGGGTCGAGGGGGGTAAATTTGCAACAACGACTCCACATGTCAACTTTCTTCCAATGTTGAACATATTGCTTTGTAGGGCCGAAAAAGGGGAGTACATTGAAAAATGTGTAAATATGGTAAATTGAGAACTGACTCAAGCTGAGCATTGCCCTCATGTGTTCAAGATATTGTTTTTGTGGGGGAGGAAGGATGACAAACGATGACTATCGTTTCAACTTTGTTCCTATCTTCAAGGTTCTGACTTGCATGGGACATGTTAAACACGGCTCAAGATGCCAAACTGGTCTGTTTGCTGAACGACTTTGAACGTATATTTTTGTAGGGAACAGGGGAGTAGATCTTTAACAATGACTCAACATGCCAAGTTTGTTCATTTGTTGAAGGGGGTGCTAGGTAGGGTCGAGGAGATGTAAATTTAAAAAATGACTCCGCATGGTAACTTTGTTCATACCTTAAACCATTTGTCTGGCAGGGTCGAAGGGACGGAAATTCCAAGCATCACTCGACATGCAAAATCTCTCCGTATGTTCAACTTATTGCTTTGTAGGGTCGATGGGATGTAAATTTCAAAAATGACTCAAGATGCCTTTTTGTTCATGTGTTCAACATATATATTGTTTTGTTGTAGGGGAAGGCAAGGAACATTTTAACATAAGTCAAGATGCCATGTTGGTTCATACGTTAAGCATGATGTTTTGTAGGGGACAGGGCAGGTAAATCCAAAAGAATGAATCAACATGTCGACTTGATCCATATATGTTGAATGTATATAATTTAATGTATTGATTTGTAGGGTCGAGGGGCTGGTAAAACTCCAAAATGTTCAACTATTTTCTTTGTAGGGTCGAGAAGGGTAAATTTGAAAACTGACACGGCATGTAAGCTAAACGTTTTATTTTGTAGGGTCGAGGGTTTGTAAATTGCAAAAATGACTCAAGATGCAATTTTTCTTCATGTGTTCAATGTATGACAATGTATGAATTGGAAAGGGAGGGGGGAAACATGTATGAATCAACATTTCAACTTTGTTCATACGTATATTCAACGAATTGTTTTTGAGGAATAAAGAATACATTTTGAACATGACTCAGGATGCCACGTTGGTTCATATGTTGAACGTAGTGCTTTCAAGAGGACAGTGACGAAATCTACAAAATGACTCAATGTGCCAGTTTTCTTCACATGTTTAACGTACTGCTGTGTAGGGTCGGGGGGTCGTAACTTTCAAAAATGGCTCAAGATGAATTTTCTCAATTTGTTCAACGTATTGCTTTGTTGTAGGGGAAGGAAATGACATTTGAATCATGACTCGAGATGCCAAGTTAGCTCTAATGTTGAACGGACGTAGTGTTTTGTAGGGGACAGGCGGGCAAGTTTGTAGCAATGACCCGACCCAACATGTCAACTTCATGGTAAGGTCAGAGGGGGAATAATTTCAAAAATGACTCAAGATCTCAATTTGTTTCATGTGTTCAACATTCATATTGTTTTGTGGCTGGGGGAGGGAAAAAATGAACTGACTTAACCCTTCATCTGTGTTCATAGTCAACGTGTTGCTTTGCAAGGGAGGAAATATATTTTAATCGTAACTCAAGATGCCACGTTGGTTCATATGTTGAACTATGTTAAACACAGTGTTTTGATGAGGTAAACCGATAAGAAGAACTCAGCCAGTCAACTTTCTCCATAAGGTCAACAGAGTCAACATATTACCTGGTAAGGTCGATGGGTGGTAAATCGCAAAATTGACTCAAAATGCCAATTTTCTTCGTCTGTTCAGCGTGTTGTTTTGTAGGGTAGGGGGGGCTGAAATATGTGAAAATAAATTAACACTTTTAACTTTGTTCATAAATTCACCGTGTTGTTTTGTGAGGAAGGAAAGGACATGTTCAACATGATTCAAGATGCCCAGTTCGTTTTTATGTTGAACGTATTGCCTTGTAGGGGATGTGCTTGAAAATCTATATAAAACATTGACTAAATGCGTCAACTGCTCATATAATATATGTGTTTTGTACATTTTGACTTCGAAATGTGCTTCGCGCCACAACGGCGTGCAATTTTTCATCTATTATCTGGCCAGATGGCTCCGCACCCGCCGCTTTAGCGAGCCTACTTTCGACCCTCCTGAGCCACAAATCATTGGAAAAACACCGTGTTTCGCGACTTTCCTACCTTTTCCCGCATCTGCATCTTCTTTCTTCTGACTCTTTCTCTTCTCTGATCTTCTCTCTTCTTCTCTTCTCTTCTCTCTGACTCTTCCCATCTCTGCTTTTCATCTGTCCATATTGCCGGAAGTTTGACTTCTAAACTTCCTTCGATTATACATTGTATATATATATACATATATCACATTATGTTACAATAGAATATATGTTCTATACTACATATTACATATTTTATATTCCATATTACATCTCATATATTATTTCATATTTTATGTGCTCTATATAAATTATATTATATATTCTATGTTGTATTATAGATTATATTACTGTATGTTCTATTATAAGTATACTTTATTATTAAGTTGTATGCATATATCATGTAAATTGTATGTACACTGTATGTATACAGTGTGTATAATATACTGCGTAATGGCTGCAATTAGTGAATTGTTCATATGTGTGACATGGTCAAAACCTGGTCGGGGTGTGGTCATCCCACAATCATCAATGGGATTCCTCATGGGTTGATTGACCCCTGTTCATGGATGACAATCCCATTTTATTGGAAATGAAAGTAGACCTGATCATGGCGCACATGTATACATATATTATGATTCAGAATATACATTTGTACATATTTGTACATAATTATACAATATGATACATACTGTAGTGATTGAGCATGAATGATTGTGTATGTATCATGGGGAGGCTCAAGCAAATTGAAGGGTGATCCACAAAATCGGGTTGCATTTTTATACGTGTTAAATCGTGTACCATAATGTTTTCTTAAATGTACCATGATGTGGTATTCACCATCGATCTTTTCCTGTTGCTCAAATTTTGAAACTTCCCCGCACCTTGGTGTACATGCTGTTGGGGAGGCAAACACCCTCAATTTCGGAGCACATCCTGTGGGATCTGTTGAATGGTTCAAATAAGGGTCTTTTCATGGGAAATATTTGCGAAAACAATGATGAACTATATACGGATTTGTGGATACTCATGAATTGCTGAAAGACTACTTATAATTGGGATTTGGCCTCGCTTTTTTCCTGTGCCAGACCGAGGGTACTCTATACCAAGGTGGTTGATCACCTTTATTTTTCAAACTTCTTGAGCCAAGCTGCCAATGGTATGACAGCCATTTTTGAGACCGCCTGTTTAACCCAAATGGAATGGGAGAAACCAGGACGGCTCATGAGACGGCTATGCCCTATGGACAGGCTTAGACCGCTCATCAACCACTTGGAAATTAATTCGTGGTGATTTCCGGCCAGTCATTAGCCTGCTCTAGTACCACGGCCCCTAAAAGTTATGGCCGAAAGGCCGTGGAAGGAGTTTTCGCCTCCCAGCGAGCAACTCGCAGTTGCAGCGCCTGAGTAAGGCGCAACGCCGGGAGTTGCGCCAGTCCGTCCTCAAGGTAGAGTCGCCCGACGGAAGGCTCTTCCAGCGACCTCTAAGGAGGATAGACTCTAGCGGCATTCCCGCTTGCAAAAGAAACGTTGCTCCGCCCCTGCAGAGGGAATAGGGCTTGAATTGTTGAGAAATGAAACCAAAAAAACGCACATACGCCTGAATTCTTGCCTGAACAACTGAGATGTCTTTGGCCAGACAGGGTCTCCTGGGGCTGGTTTTTGCACGGACACCAAGGTATCCAGCAATTGTAAAGTGAGGGCATCTCGCACCGCAATCGCCTCTTGAGAGCCTGAGCGCTGACCAGCTTTGCTGCATGGAAGGCTGATGACCCCACACTGGGCGTTGAACTGCAGGTGCTTGAAACGCAACGCCATAAGTTCACCTGTAGGTAGTAATCCATGAAAACCCAGTGCAATAACAGTTGCAAAGGCCAACTGGTTGGCTGCAACCGCTTTAGCCACAAACGCACGAGCTAGGCTCAGCGGTAATGGGGGGCTCGAGATGGCGGCTCAATCCGGCGACAGCTGCGGAAAGTTCGCCAAGATTGTCGTAGGATCCCCCCTCACCTCCGGCCAGAAAAATGTAAACCGGAGAGCGCGTCAGCAATATATGACAACGGCTCACCACGGATCCACTGTAATTCAATCCAGTCTGTAAGGATGCCATCCAAGTCTTGTAGGGAAGGCTGCGCTTCTAAAAAAGGAAGCAGCCGTCCTACGGCACTTTCGTACCGCGCTCGAATTTTCGGCGCGATGGTATAGTCGCGAAGACGTATACCCGCGCGCTTGCGTCTGCTGTCTACTTCGTTGGTTTTGCCAGCCAGCACGACGCGCGGGATGAACCGCGGCATTCATGCAGGGCTACCCGCGTCAGTCGGGTTTTGCAAACTTGTCACATGGCCATGCAGCAGTGAAACTCCTAGGAACAACTGTACAGCACCCACCTTGTTGCAAATTGGCTGCAGCAGTCGGCTTGAGGTCCTACCCTTAGTTAAGATGTATAGGCACCATGCTATCTTCAAGGTGTAGCCACCTCTTTTTCAAATTCTCCACCTTGCGTGCTTTCCATAAAAGAGTCAACAAAATCATTTTCCTTTCCAGGAGGTTGATGTGCGATGTTTCGTTCCAGCGCACCTTGAATTGATGCTTCCACTGCCACCAGCCACCAAGCACGCATTGAACCATGTGCCCCTCGTTTACTTAGGGGCTCCCCAGTAAGGATACGCACATCAGACCCAGTATGATTAACTTGGAAGCCAAGGCACTTGACCAGGTCCAGCGGCCCCTGTGGCAAGTCGGAAGAATCGCTGTAGGCCAGCCAGCGCGCCATGGGGATTTCCAAGTCGGGGTGCGCCGAGGCCCCGGGGGCAAGCCCCAGCCTGGCGATGATGTGAGAAGGCCGGATACGGCAACAGAGGTGCAGGAGATTGCACAGCTTGGAAAGCCCTGACGTCCAGGTCACGAGAGGCTTGGGTTCAATGGGGAGGCAGGCAGGGAACTGCCATCGAGATCTTATGAGAAAGTTCTTTCAAGAGCTGAAAGTGGCTGCAGCACAAAGATTGAGATGATGAAGAAGGAAGAAAAAATGTGCATGTTGCTGAAGAGCAAGAGGTAAAGTTGCTGCTCCCACACCAGTGGGTTCGTCACCTACAAGAAAGCGACCTGCACCAATGAAGAGTTAGATCGCTTCTGGAGAAGCCAGCTCTCCAGCCCTCGGATGTCACCAGCACTGAAAGAGATGATCCAGGATTGCATGCCAAGTGAGTTACCTATCCCATGGCTTCTGCATGGAGATGCAGCCCCCTTCACAGAAGTCGACTCCATACAAGTTTTGAGCTTCAGGCCATGGTTTCCAAATTGAATACAAGAAACAACAGCCCCCCCATAGTGTATTTTCTATCCAATGGTTCTGTTTCAATATTGGTTTGGCAAGCCCCTGCAGATGCCTGCTTTCCAAGAGGAGTGTGAGTGAAAGCCAACTGCTGATCACTGCTATACCAAAGCTGGCCATGACCAAGAAGAGTTTCAAGCAAGTGATGGAGACTGCGGCCTGGTCATGGCAAATTCTCTTTTCAGGAGTGATCCCAAAAAAGGACCAGTTTGGGAACCCTGTGGAAGAGTTTAGAGGAAGAAGAATGAGAAGAGGAGTCTTATGGAGTATCACAGGTGATCTCGAATGGTTCTGCCAAGAGTTCTGCCAAGAGTTCAATTTTCCTTGGCCAGCATCAAACATGATGTGCCCCTACTGCCGAGCTGACCAGATGAAAGAAGACTCCAAGAACAGTTTCACTGACTTTCGGCCTTGTGCTACATGGAGAGACACAATTCACGCAAACTCTCAGCTCAAGACCAAGTTCCTGAGCCCTCCCATTTTCAAAGCACCATCAGTCAGCATTTTGTCGGTGAAGTTAGACCGGCTCCACACAGTTGACTTGGGAGTAGCTGCTTATTTGCACTGGGTCTTTGCTATACAGCATCATGGAGGAGCTGCCTGGCAGAAACAGATCCTAAGAGAATTAGCATGTGTTTCTTGCCTGTGCATGGGCTGGACAGCCCTTGGCCCACCCTCTTTCAATTGGGCTGGGCACATGTGGAGATGCCATGACAACAAGTTCCCTGCTGAGGAGAAGCAAGGCTCACACAGCTCAACAAGAAGATCACTGAGAACTATGACAAGCTCAACATTGAGGCCCAGAAGAGGATCAGACCTTTGAGCCTGAGTGATCTATGTGACTCCAGTGAACAATTTGTCTCAAGCACCAGAAAGTTGCCAGAATAGCGGAGAGCCTTGCAAAGGAGCACAGTGTCGCAGGGAAAAAAGCTTCCCAGCACAGGTTGGCCGTGGCCAGCAAATTAACTGGATTGTACCAGCTTCTGGACTCCAAATGGCAAGATTGGCCTAAGAGACACCAAAAGTTTATCAATGAAGTGGAGAAGATGATGCACCACTACTCTTGGCTTGCAGCAGATGCCCTGGCGAGTGGAAAACACCTCTGGAGCTTAGTTCAGAAAAGCCACCTCATTCTCCACTTGGCATCCCAGAGCACTCTGCACCCTAGCCTCACCTGGACATATGGCAGTGAAAGCTTTATGGGCTGGATGGTGCAGATGTCTGCTTCATGCACACATGGGACACCAGGTCACAAAGTGCCAGAGAAAGTTTGTCAAAAATTCAGATTGATGTTTCACTTGTACCTGAAAGGGTACATAGTCATGGAGGAAGGGTAGGATAGCAGAATGCTAGAAAACAGAAAAAGTAGCAGAATGCTAGAGGGAATGAAAAAACATGCTGAAAGTGCCATGGGCTGGACAGCCCAGTCCACTACAATTTGTGGCCTGGGCTGGGCAGCATATCCTGAAAAATCACATTGCTGCAGAGTTATGGCTGCAAGTTGGGAGGATTTCCAGAACTCCCTTCCACCAGAGATATGGATGCAGCTGAAGCCAGGAGGAGGAAAATCACTTTCTTCAAAGGAGAAGAAACAGCCAACAAGGCATTGCAGGCAGCTGGCTGGAAGCTAGATGAGACTGAAGACTCCCAAGTCCTCATCCCTCCAAGCCCTGATGTTGAAGAAGGTGTTGAACAAAGTGAAGGGGAAAATGAGGATCAAGGAGGCATCTCTGAGTGCCAAGTAGAGGAAAGCACAGGAAACAATTAAGTGCAATTACAGTTTTTGCATTCGCTGTGGATATTGCTGCAGCTCAATTTGCATGAGGTCCAAAAAGATTGTGCCTCTGCTTGCTGTGGGCTGGACAGGCCAAAGACATAGATGAGTGGGCTGGATAGCCCCAAACTGTCACACTAGTGGGCTGAATAGCCTCAAATCCCAATGACAATGGTGGGCTGGCTAGCCCCAAACTGTCACACAGTAGTGGGCTGGATAGCCCCAAATGTATCCAAATGTCACAACATGGGCTGGATGATCCCCAACTGTTACACTAGTGGGCACAGCTCTTTTTCAGCCATATACTCTTATACTAAAAAATGTGCGTTAAAAAAAAAAACTTTTTTACAATTGAATTTTCGATTGAAATTTCGATTGAATTTTAAAAGCATTTCACTTGAATTTTCGATTGAATTTCATTTCTTCTGCCACTTGAAAAATCGATTGAATTTGAATTTTGCAACTTTTCAAGCGGCGATTGAAAATTTCAAGTGCGATTGATTTTGTTCAATCTAGGATGCCCTGGGTTCACCTGTGTAACTGGTCCGCTTCTCTTTCAGGTCCCTGATAATTTCCCCAAACGTAAAAGATGCAGGGGTTTCACCTTCCAAAAAACTCCTAACCTTGTCATGCAAATTTCCTAAAGCCGAAGCATGAACTTTTCCAGGCTGCTGCTGGAGTCCATGGCCAATATAGCCATATAAATCCGTATACAGTAAGGCGTTCAGGGAGGCACAAGCACAGGCCACCCAGGCGCCTACCGCAAAATCTGTACATGAGCTGGCGTACTTCGACTGCCAGCAAATGAAAAGCCCTCCGACCAAGACAC